TTATAGTTTACCTAACTCATCATAGCCACTGTGTGTTTACAATACAAGATTTCATCACATACCTCTAGTATTCACCGGACAACCAACACGTTCAAGGAAAATCCCTTTGCTAACAATGTAATACCCCGTAAAAATACTCACCGGAAGTTTGCCGGAACTTGCGGACTTCGACGCCGGAGTAGGACAATATTATTTTAGGCCTAATTTATTTTGAGCTTTTGGTGTAAGAAATTAAGGAATTGGCTGTAAATTAGAAATAAAATTGAGTTTAGGGTAAAATAAATAATAAATTAGATTTAGTTTATCAGTACCTCTTAATTTAGGTATCTTATCTATAATTTGTTAAGATATATCATATCTAAGTGTAGATTTGATAAGATATAGCGTATCTATATTTTGTTAAGATATAGCATATCCAGGTTAGAGTGTCTGTATATATATAGAGAGAGAGAGGATGAGTCTAAATCTTTTATGTTTAATAAAATAAAATAAAATAAAAAAAGAACAGAGGCAGCATAGCAGAATGCACGCTGCCAGCCAACCCCCTTCTTCCTTGGAGTCCTTTTTCTCCAAAACTCTTCATTTTAGTCTTTTCTCTTAAGGTAAGTGGGATTAATCTTAGATAGATTGATATGTTCTAATCCCTAAACCCCTTTTATTGATATATTTTTCAAAATTATTGTCAAATGGGTTTGCCCTAAAAGTATTAAGTTTTGCCAATTTCTTTTAGGAAACTGATTATAATGTCATCTAAGGCTTATGTGAAGATTATTATTGAATTGTAAATTGAAAATCGTAGAATTTATGGGATAGGTTTGAAACCCTAGTTTTGCCCTAACCTAGTTATGGTATTTGGAAAAAGATTTACGATTATATTTAAATATTATGATTTTTGGGATTAGACCATGCCTATTGTGATTGAAATATTTTTCGAATGTTTATTTGGCGAAATAAAGTGTGTTTATGATGAATTTGTTGGGTCTAATATCCTACTTTTGATTGATTAAATGTTGAAAATTAAAATATTTGAGTTTAAAACACTCTTTTTGAAATTTGCCTAAAAACATGTTGAGTATTTGGTCAAATTGGTAATTGAAACTATCCGTCGAGTCCGATCAACTCGTCGATTGTTTGGATGATAAGGCATAGCCTTCCACCTCTGTGCCTTGCAAACACGTGAGGATATACCGGTATTTTAGGATAACTAGCTAACTTTGAACTAGATCCCGAATGGGCTAGGTCGAGGGATCGAGATGGCGGGTTCCCTTTTTGGGTGATTACGAGGTGCCCGTCATTCACGATGAAAAGGTCTTTAGACCGTCATCCGTAATGGAGGGATGGATTGTGTACAATCCCCTCTTGGTATGTTATATTGGAGACTAGAGGGTTGTGGGCCGTATGGCGCCCCTCGCAAACTAATAATAAATTGATTTACGTGTACTTTGGGTTTCGAACCCTTATGTACACATTGTGGAGTTTCCTTTGAGGGTTGTGACCCTATGTTTGTTATGTGAAATTACGTGACGTGTTATACGAAGTAATAAGGTTGGAAAACCGGGTCGAGCCGGCCCTGATTAAGGCCTAGTGGAGTTTTCTTCGTGATGTGCTCATCACTATTATTTGAGAATGAAAATGAGGTATAAGGGAGGCGCTAAAAGATTCGTGTGTGTGAGTTATCCTTATGTGATATGTGTCATCTTATTCAAATTATGTTCTTCAAATGATTTTGTGGCATTATATCGTATTTATTTATCTTCGATTAATTGCGCTTACTCAACCGTTGTGTTGACCCTCTTCTTACAACTTTTTTGTAGGTAATCATGTTTCTGTTATACCTAAATGATGCATCCACATCATATGCTCCATCGGGGGGAACTATAACTACTTTATCTTCTAAAATATTTTTGAAATCCATTATTAATGTTTAATAACTAATGCCTTTTTAACTATTTCCAACTTATGCTTTTGACTCGAACTTTATTTATTTAAATGATAAGCCAGTGCGCTTTAATTCTAAATCTCTAAATAGTTAATTTGTAATGGTTCTTTTAGCCTTAGCGCCACAACGTAGGGCTAGTTGGTTGATGAACGAGCCTTACGGTGTGGCGTGGCGGTGGCGCTCCGGTTTGAGCCGGCCGGGGTGTTACAGATGGTGTCAAAGCCTAGGTTAAAGGCTCATGCTTCTTGGCTAATAAAAATTGAAGATTTCGGAATTTCTAAAATCAATTAGATCATGGGTTTAGACGGGTTTGGGTGTATTCATGGCATGCATTGCATTTTATGTTCATTCCATGTGTTTATGTGCATTGGTTATGCTATTTGATTAATGTTCGTTCCATGTGTTTATGTGCATTGGTTATGCTATTTGATTAGTGTTTATGTGCATTGGTTATGCTATTTGATTAGTGAGAGCTTATTAGGCCTAGTCATTTTTAATTAGGAGATAAATTTCGAGGACGATATGTCCTAAGGGAGGGAGGATGTAATACCCCGTAAAAATACTCGCCGGAAGTTTGCCGGAAATTGCGGACTTCGACGCCGGAGTAGGACAATATTATTTTAGGCCTAATTTATTTTGAGCTTTTGGTGTAAGAAATTAAGGAATTGGCTGTAAATTAGGAATAAAATTGAGTTTAGGTTAAAATAAATAATAAATTAGATTTAGTTTGTCAGTATCTCTTAATTTAGGTATCTTTATCTATAATTTGTTAAGATATATCATATCTAAGTGTAGATTTGATAAGATATAGCGTATCTATATTTTGTTAAGATATAACATATCCAGGTTAGAGTGTCTATATATCTGCCAGCCAACCCCCTTCTTCCTTGGAGTCCTTTTATGTTCTAATCCCTAGACCCCTTCTATTGATATATTTTTCAAAATTATTGTCAAATGGGTTTGCCCTAAAAGTATTAAGTTTTGCCAATTTCTTTTAGGAAACTGATTATAATGTCATCTAAGGCTTATGTGAAGATTATTATTGAATTGTAAATTGAAAATCGTAGAATTTATGGGATAGGTTTGAAACCCTAGTTTTGCCCTAACCTAGTTATGGTATTTGGAAAAAGATTTACGATTATATTTAAATATTATGATTTTTGGGATTAGACCATGCCTATTGTGATTGAAATATTTTTCGAATGTTTATTTGGCGAAATAAAGTGTGTTTATGATGAATTTGTTGGGTCTAATATCCTACTTTTGATTGATTAAATGTTGAAAATTAAAATATTTGAGTTTAAAACACTCTTTTTGAAATTTGCTTAAAAACATGTTGAGTATTTGGTCAAATTGGTAATTGAAACTATCCGTCGAGTCCGATCAACTCGTCGATTGTTTGGATGATAAGGCATAGCCTTCCACCTCTGTGCCTTGCAAACACGTGAGGATATACCGGTATTTTAGGATAACTAGCTAACTTTGAACTAGATCCCGAATGGGCTAGGTCGAGGGATCGAGATGGCGGGTTCCCTTTTTGGGTGATTACGAGGTGCCCGTCATTCACGATGAAAAGGTCTTTAGACCGTCATCCGTAATGGAGGGATGGATTGCGTACAATCCCCTCTTGGTATGTTATATTGGAGACTAGAGGGTTGTGGGCCGTATGGCGCCCCTCGCAAACTAATAATAAATTGATTTACGTGTACTTTGGGTTTCGAACCCTTATGTACACATTGTGGAGTTTCCTTTGAGGGTTGTGACCCTATGTTTGTTATGTGAAATTACGTGACGTGTTATACGAAGTAATAAGGTTGGAAAACCGGGTCGAGCCGGCCCTGATTAAGGCCTAGTGGAGTTTTCTTCGTGATGTGCTCATCACTATTATTTGAGAATGAAAATGAGGTATAAGGGAGGCGCTAAAAGATTCGTGTGTGTGAGTTATCCTTATGTGATATGTGTCATCTTATTCAAATTATGTTCTTCAAATGATTTTGTGGCATTATATCGTATTTATTTATCTTCGATTAATTGCGCTTACTCAACCGTTGTGTTGACCCTCTTCTTACAACCTTTTTGTAGGTGATCATGTTTCTGTTATACCTAAATGATGCATCCACGTCATATGATCCATCGAGGGAACTATAACTACTTTATCTTCTAAAATATTTTTGAAATCCATTATTAATGTTTAATAACTAATGTCTTTTGAACTATTTCCAACTTATGCTTTTGACTCGAACTTTATTTATTTAAATGATAAGTCAGTGCGCTTTAATTCTAAATCTCTAAATAGTTATTTTGTAATGGTTATTTTTTAGCTTTAGCGCCACAACGTAGGGCTAATTGGTTGATGAACGAGCCTTACGGTGTGGCGTGACGGTGACGCTCCGGTTTGAGCCGGCCAGGGTGTTACAAACAACCTATGTAATCTGACCATTAAATGATCCGATGGTTGTGTTGTGGTGTGTTGTGATCATAGAGTGTTGAATTTGATGTGCTCCACGTCATTCCACTGTCCGCCTTATATTAACCTTGATTTATTAACAACTTTTGATCAAGTCATGAGAAGTAGGTCTTAAATGGGATACACATAGACAGTTGTGGGCACTTGATATTGTTGGAAACTTTTGTTCAGGATCTCAGTCAACTGTACTCTAGTATTATATTCCATTACACTTCAAATCTTTTGAGTATTTATCAGTTTTATTTCCCACTAAATCATGAATAGAAGCCAAAAAGAATATCCCACCTTCAGAACCTACACTTGATCAGTAATCCATTGCGCTTGTAAATACCCAAGCACTGGTAAGTAATCAACACTGAGCACTACCATTATATGGTGGTGTCTGGTGATCTGAACAATAAAAAAAGAGGCATGTTAAACAGTTGGATATATTTCTAAGATGTTTTTCATATTGGTCTAATAACTTCAGTCAACAACAGTGTCCGGACAGTGGTGATACCTGCGTTCAGAATAGAATACCAATAATATTAAGCAAATTTAGTTATGTTATCAATGTGTCTCAAAGTTTATTCACTGTTAATATGCGAGTGACAGATGAGTTACGGATGGCTGTAAAAGAAGTTATATGTGACAATGAAAAAGAGCGTCTACAACACCAAGAGGCCTTGGTTGCAATAACTGTTGAGGAATCTTTGAGACGGTGATATTTGCATTTTCTCCAGTGGTTACAGTACTCCCCAACTGTTTTAGCACACCAAATGATGAATGTTATTGCAAACTTTAGTTTACAATTTAATGTGTCTCTGCAGTTATTGCCAGCGAATTGGAAGGCCTGATTTTTGGGGTGGGGAGGCTGAGCTTCTGGTTAGTACTAACATTATAATTTTATCACCCTTCTCAGCTGATTAAATTGCAATTGATTTTATCTTTTAGTCTTCTCATTTCCCTGATAATGAGTGAGGGGAGTGGAGTGGCTTCGTGGTGTGTTTGTTTGGGGGTTTGGATTTTAAGTTGGGATTTGAATAATAAAAATTTTGAATTTGAATAGTTGTATGATGTGATATAAATAGGTGTTGATGTGATGTTTTGAATGTAAAATTGATTTTTAGTATAATATGAAAAATGAAAAATAGGTGTTTGATTTGATTTTTTTGGGGGGGAAAAATGGAATGAATAGTGGAAATCTAATCCAATCCCCCAAACAAACACACTACTTATAACCGTGTTCAATGCTGTAATCTTAAACTGGTGGATAATCTTGTGAGTTCAAGTTTGTTTCTTCTCCTAGTATCTGAAATTACTATATATGATGTTTGTTTGTTGATTAACTTTCACCTTTGACTGTTTCAACTGACTATGAATTTATGAATTTCTTCAACTTTAGGTGCTGTCCAAGTTGTGCCAGCAGCCAATAGTTGTATACATTCCTGAACATGAGGTATGTTTTTCATACATAAGATATATGTATTTTGAAATTTATAGAGGTTGTGATGTTTAAAACCAATGCAATAAAATATATATCCATTGTGACCCAAGTGGGTTGCAACGGGGGTGAATGATCAAATAAAACACTGATTAAATGAGCTTGGTTTTACTAGGTAACCTTAAGTTAGAGTTCTACTTGAATAGTTGATTGAGATGCAATGTCGAGAAACAGTTACAGATCTTATGATAGATCATGTTAGCCTGTCTCAGGCTTAAAACACATTAAAATTTGGCCACATCCCAAATATTCCCTCCAGTTGAATACAGTATATGTTAGCAGAATAATTTTCTTCTTGCTTCTTTGCCACAGATGAATGGTCTTGTGAAACCTCTAATTGATGTTTTTGGTAATTCACTATGAAGTTGCAGTGCGGGCAAGGTGGGTGGAGGTCTGGTTTTATTCCTATTCAAGAATATGGATCCGAGTTCGATGAAGGTTTGAAAGATGGAAAAGAGAAGCCTCAGAAGGTTGTTAGGCTGCTCTACTCTGGCAACAACCACTATGATCTGCTTATCTGAGAAGGTAGCTTTACATGCATTAAATAGGTTGAATATTTCGGAACCTACCTATGCTTTTTGTTGCTGCATACTTAGAGTCCAAATGATCTGAAAATTGTGTAAAAGACAGACTAAAAGGACCAGGCCTGTATAAGTTGAAGCGAATGGAGATTGGTATTATATATATTAGGAGCTCACCTCTCAACTACCTACCTTGGCTATTTGCAGGATTTCAGCTGGGGTATGTTCATGTTTGAGACAGATCGACATGGATTTGAAAGCTCTAATAATAGACATAAACAGGCACTAGAGGAAGGAAAACAGTATCAAAGGTGATGGGAAGGCACAAGCTCTTCTTTGGTTGTGTGCAAGTATGCATCACACTAGGTGATTAATACAATTTCTCTTCTGTTATTAGGATTGCCCTAATAAAGTATGGGTAGTCCATAAACAGACCAAATAGTAAATTCAGAATAAGGGGTGGGATGAAATAAGATTGCATCATAAGCCACAATCCACCCAAAAAAGAAGTTGATTAATTAAATCTATTACTGGCTATTTCTAATTATTCCCACCCCTCAACTGCATTTGAGGGCAGTTCACAGTGACAGAACAAATAACAATCAGCAGCTGCTTGGATTAAGTCTCGAGGTCTTAGACCGGAAAAGGATAGTTAAAGAAAACAAGGGAAGGTGATTGCGGATTAGTGCCACCTCAATTGTTTAGCATGATTTATTGTAAAAATGTGAAAAATCAATAAAGATGATGTCCTTTTCCCTTTTGATGATATCTGTCAGCTGTGAACTCTGTTTTAAGAAGACTCCAAACTTCTGACATAGCTTTTAGCCTGAAAACGAACAAGAAATGTGGGCTTAAATTAATTTCAAGTCTAAGGATCAGCAAACAAGGATATATTCTATATGAAATTGGTGTTCGAAGCAAAGGGTGTTTTGTTTTAGGTACAAACCTGCTCTAATGTCAAGAACATGATCACATTCCATGACCCTAACCTTCCAAAGTTGGGGATAAAGCCTTTGTAGAATGCCAAAGGTCCCTGCATAAGATTACATCTCATAATTTAATTAATCTGTGATGATGATATTTCTTTGCACCACACATTACATGGTTGTGCAGAAGTAAGCTGGCTAATACATAATCCAAGCTTTAAGAAGCAAGCAGTCGTTCAGGGAAAAATCATCTTAAGGAACAAAGAAGTTTGAATCAGCGTGCCACATTACATTCAATCCCAAGAATAAAATTATTTGTTGCCATAAGCTACTCCATTGCCACTAACACTTGAGGACAATATGTTTTTGAGGCATCCCAATACTCATAAGAACATACTGAAATTTCTTATCCAATTCAAGAAAAACATTGGCTTTCTATTTATTACTCCCTTCCTCACAATATATACAATTTTAGGAATGAGGAACAGGCTGGAAGTTAATAATATTGTTGTAATACATTTTTACTCTAAAATGACACAAGTCATGTGTGTGAGGAGGAGCAAGGGAAGTTTTTTTCCTTTCACCCCTAAATTGATTCCACAGCAGACAAGACTCTAGAGCACATGTAAACAACAATAACAGAATCCTCTCCGGTCAAAAAAAAACAAAAAAACCAATGACGGAGTCCTCCTAACAAGACCCCAAGCCATGGGGGAAAAAAGAAACAGTGATAAAGCAGGAAAGTAACTTACATCATTCTTCAAAGTCTTGACAAAGCAATCAAATGTGTTTTTGTATGCTGAATCTCCCATCATTCTGGACTTGACCTGGGAAACAGAAGGACCAACAAAAATTAACAGGAACAATCCAGATGCAAGAAAGTGTTGTCCATAAGTTTCATTCAGATCAATCTCAGTAATATGAATATATTCAAAGAGTGTATCTGAAGTGAAGAGGTTACCACATCAACTGGAGAGCCTATGCAGACTGCAAAGAAACCAGCCCCCAACCCAGCAAAAAGATGGGTTACAACATTGTCGGTGAAACCGGGAATTTTCAGAATAGTCTGGTAAAACCGAGGCATAACAATGATGAACCAGGATCAAAAGACAGAAAATTATGTTACAGTATGTATAATGGGAATTGTAAACACACTTATCACACCTGCTTCACTTGATCATAACTAGCAAGTTCAGCAGCATTTATGATAGCATTACGGCCAATATTTGGTCCAATTCCTGTCCACAAGGCTGCAATTCCTTCCTATTATTTGGAAAACCGAAAAGAAGGCAACTCAAACACTCAATTTATATAATGCAGCAAGGAAGACTCAACAAAAAGTTTAGATATGCAACCTGTCTAGCAATGGTAGAATAAGCATTTAGTGCTCCTGAATATCGCCGGGGCACACCAGGGGGAAGTTTTCCCTCGGCTTGAAGTCGTACTTTAACAAGATCAGTAGGGTTGGCAATGGTGATTCCCAGAGCACCTGATTATTTAAAATGTTCACAAAGCATTTCAAAAGCAGAAGACACAGACAAGTAACATTTTTCTATTCTTCACATACCGATTACCAAACAAATCAAGTTCATAAATATGTGCCTAATACATAAAAAAAGAGCAATCCCTTCCAACTTGTAAACTGTTCTCAAGAGTAAGGCCAAAAATGGGGGTAAACCATCAGCAACATGCTCGTACCTGTTGTCAGTGCAGCAAGAATTTTCTTTGACAATGGCACATCCCCAACGTGATCTTTGCCCACATACAAGTTCTTGACCTGTCCGATGCACAAGACACAACTGTTAAATTCAGACCACAAAATCTAAAACTAATTTATCAAAACGTACATACAGGGTCATACAAGCCAATCCTTAAGCCTCCAAATAGACACTGACGATGCAATCCTGGCACAATGCCCTTCCACAGTGCAGACAACCCTTCTTCCCTGGCAATGGTCCCAACAGTTCCAATCAATCCCCTATATTTTGGTAAAGTCAATGCATCCCCTGCAATAACTTTCTTCTGCAACTGAAGCCGGACTTTTGCAGTGTCTAATGGAATTGTACATATCTACAGAGAAAGAAATTAGATTAGGTAATAAAAAAATGCTCTTAAGCAAGACGACCACACAGTTATAGACAATCGCCATTGTCAATAACCATCAAATACACAGTAAGGTAATGAAAGAACCCCAATGAAACACATTAAAATAAAACTAAGGGCTCTTTGACTTTGAGTCCAACTTCCAAAGAAAAATCAACATTTCCGAACCAATCTTCCATCATCAACAATGAAAAGAGAATTCAGGCCAAATAAAAAAATCTAGTTTACCATGAATGATGCTTTTGAGAACATAGCAACGGATCAACAAGCGAAATTTGCTAAGAAAGACAACTTTGGCATCCAGAATTCAATACATACGCACAACTAATCCAATCAATACCAGAACAGTAGATTTAAACAAAGCTATGAATCGAAAATGAGAGGAAGCCAGTACACCTCACCTCAGCAAAGCAAGCTGCAAAGGAACTACATGCTAAAGTGCCAGCAAATGAAATGTCGGATTTAGATTTTCCGTGATCCCCCATCAAAACAAAAACAAACCAGCAGCGCACTTAGGGTTTCCGCAAATGCAGAAAGAGAGGAAGGAATGGGGGAAACGAGTTATGAGTAATCGATGAAGAGAAGAATCTCGAGAGAGGGTGATGAGGATGATGATACAGACAGCGAATCGCAGGTTTTGCCCAATTGGGTGTCTGCAACTGCTGGGTGCTATTCTTATGCTAATGCTAATGCTTCCATTGTCAGCGTCTGCCCACTCCCTCTTCAGCCGTATTTATACCTTGACACGATTCCTCATCGACCCAACCCATTCCATGACATCGCAATCATACTCAACTTACAGCGATACATGTTATTATATATTTGAGATGAGTCTAATGTTTTCATATTATCATATTTTTGAGATTTTGTTTATTTTTTTTATTTTACAGTTTTTTTTTATATAGATTATATTTTATAATTATTTCATTTGATCTTAATAATGGGAATAATTTTTTTATAAATAAATAATTATAATTTTTTTTAATAATTTATCTGGTACATTATTGCTTTTATATATATATATATATGAAGTATTAAGGTTGTTATTATTTTAATATTTTTTTAATAGTTTTATAGAAAAAAATTTAAATATATTATATATTTTTTAATAGTTTTAAAATTTTTTTAGAAAGATAATGCATATGTATCAATTAAAAATTTTGAATTACTTATTTTTTTCTAATAAGTAAATATATATTTCTTATTTATTTATATTTATATAAATAGAAAAATAATGCTAAAAAGTTATTTGGCTGCATTTATTGACCGAGCGTTTACATTCATCGTTCATGTGCCTCCAACAGTTGCAAGATCAGATCCTCCATCTCCGGTGTTTCAAATTATGACCGTAGATTAGTGTGAAGAATATTCACACATTTTGAAATGACCTTCACAATTATAACTATTTTTTTTTTGAATTATATATTTTTTTCTGTAGTTTATAAAATAACTTTTAATTAAATGTTACTCCCTCCGTTCCAATACAATAGTTTTGTTTACCATTTTTCTCCATTCCAAAACAATCGTCTAATTTTCATAAATAATTATATTATTATAAAACTACATTTACTTTTTCATTATTATTATACAATTGCCACTACTTTTTACACTAATATACTCACAAGAGCAAAAAAATCTTTTATCCGTATTTTTTATCCATTACCAATATAATATTAATATTCTTAAATCTCGTATCAATCCAAAATCCAAACCCAGACTATAGTTCTGGTACCAAGGGGGTATAATTTATATTCTATATGATTCCATCTACAATATTTTATTTACTTTTATTTATATAGTATAAAAACAATTTTATTATATATATTTATTTTATATATTATAAATAAATCATATGCAAATTTTATCAAATATATAATTACATTACAATATTATTTTAATTATATATATACTCGTACATCGGGTTTAAATTCTAGTTTATATATTATGTATTTGAGATCAGTCTTAATTCCTCATTCTGACATTTTTGGAATTTTTTTTTATTTTTTTTTGTTTTTACAGTTTTTTATCATGATAGTAGGATATTTAAAATCTATATAATTTTTACAGTTTTTCTATAGTGTCGGTGGATATATATCCATTTTTAAAATTTTATAGAGTTTAATTTTATTTTATTATTATTATTATTATTTTGTTGAAATCCATATTCTAATTTTTTTGTTGCATATTTCTTAACAAATTTTACCTTTATATTTATTTTAATTTAAGAAAAAGACGAAGATAGAGAATGATTGAAGGTTTACAATTTTGATTTTTTTTTAAGTTAAAAAAAATCATTAATTTTATAGATTATATTTTATAATTATTTCATTTAATCTGTATTGCTTTAGTGTCAATTCCGGAAGCATTCAAATCTCATATTGTATTTATATGATATTTATTTATATTTTGCAAGATCTTATTTATTTTACAATTTTATCTTTTTTTTGTTTCACAAGATATTGAATTCGATAAGTATTAAAATATATTCCCTCCGTCCCGACAACGATGCAATATTTTGTTTGGACATGAGAATTACTGTAGTATAAATTAATTATTTAAATAGTGGGTATTATTATTTAATGATTAAAACAAATTTAAAATGTGTTTGAATATTTTAAACATTATATATCTCAATAAAATATATATACAATATGAATACTATTTTTTAGAAAATAAAATTTTATAATATAAATTTAAAAAAATATTTATTTATTTATCATTATCATAAATTATTTTTGTAAAAAAATGGAGAGTTTTAAAGGTATATAGAATATTTGTTAACTAGTGGTAAGCCCGTGCTACGCACGGTAACATTAACGAATAACAAAATTGTAATACTATTTTCATCCCATAAAAGAATATCATTTGTGTTTAATATTAAAAATATATTTATATTTGTGTAATTTACTCCACAAGTGTATTGTATTTGTATTATAAGAGACTAATAGAAATTATTTTATATATATTTTTTAAATTTATACTATATATTAATATAATCATTAATATTCAAATATTAACATAAAAAAACTCAGGTTACTGTTCCCATGAGACAGAGGCAATGTTAATTTTGTATATGAATTTATATTTAAATTTTAAATTAATACTTCACTATACTAACTCACTTTAAATTAATCAAAAATATATATTAAATTAAATAAACAAAAATGTAAGAGATGTAAGCCATATATTGTATATCTTATATCTTATCTTATCTTATATATATTATTATAAGAGCTCGTTGTGGGATATACTTATGCAAAAGCTTAAATTTCTAGCAATTTTATATTATTTTTAAAAAATAATTTGATTGGTCATCACTTTTGATTGGTTGTTATAAAATATGAGTCACTATATAATAATTGTTGTATATATTTTTTTAAAATATTAAAAATTATATGTAATGTAATTATATTCCTAGAATTTTTATGTAATGTAATTGTATTTAATGGTTATTTTTATATACTTAATATATTAATAGAATTGTAATAATTTAATAATATTTTTTCTAATATGAAAATATATAAATAATATTATAAATGTAGAGATGGATTTTAATTGTATATGTGTAAGTTGTAAATTATAATTTTATATATATATCTACTATATACATATAAAGATACTACATATATATATATTATTATTTTTTTAATGTAGCACATATTTAAAAATAACTATTAATTATAACTACATTTTTTTCAATACAAAAACTAATTAGAAATAGTAAAATTACAATTACATCACATATGATTTTTTTTGTATATTATGAAATAAACAATTTAATATAGTATATATATATGAAAACAACAATTAAAAAAAAAAAGAAAAATATATAAATAATCATTGGGTATTTCTCACATATTATTTAAATAAAATAAAAATTTACTATTTGCAATAGCCAATCCAATTGTGTAATAATCAAAAAGGAAGAAAAAAAATTCAAAATAGCTAAACTTCATGTTTTTTTCAAGGATGGCATCCACATTGAATTCAAATATATATATATATATGTTGGTGGGAAGGCCCGTGCCAAACCCAATGCATTTAACTAAAAAAATTGCAATATTAATAATCTATATGAAATTTTGCCATTTATTTTAAAGGAAAAATTTCAAAAAAAATGCTTTGTATTTAGAATTAGGCTCAATTATTAATTTCGAATAATTTTTTTTTTCCATGACATTATGTATATTCCGGATATTAATTTTTACTCTCCATCTCCGAAAAAACGCACATGACTGTCACATGCACCTTCATGGTATGACCGGTGCATATCGTGGATGTCGCCGTTGCTATGTTATTGCTCGCGTAGTTGTCGGACATGTGATGTGAAATTATCTTTTTTCACATTTCGTAATGTAAGATATTATATGTACTCCTGACATTATATTTGCCCTCCAGATGGAAAAATAATTTGTTTTAGCCTCTTTTTTTTTTTTTTTTTTTTTTTTTTTCAATTTGGTCCAATTGGACCAAAATCCAAATATGTTATTTGCAATTTGATCTAATCGAGCAAAGTTGAAATTGTAAATAAATTATTATTTTTTCAAATTATAATTTTACGTTACTTGTCTGAAGACCACGTGGGCGACAACATCCACGTATATGTTGGTCGTACAACAAAGGCGTAAGTGCGTTTTTTGGCACCGAATGACAAAAATTATATTCGGAGTACATATAATTTTCTAAGTTGCAAAAATAAATAAATAATGTTTGAAAATAATAATTGAACCTACATACTACCAAAGTTTTTTTTGTTTTTTCAATTTTCTCTATTTCAAAATACACTAACACTATTCAAGTTTTTTATTGATTTTCTTTTTATTATACAAATATTTTAATAGTTTCATAAATTTAAGAATAAAATATTTTATAAAAGATAATAATTAAATAAATAACATTGACTAAAATTTAAAAAATAAAAAGACAAATAAAATAATCTATTCAAATTTTAAAAAACATATATGAAATTGAGAAATCTTTAACAAATTATATTATTCTTTTACTTATAATAATATTTTATGAAATATGTTATCAATATCAACTTTCTAACTACATCTCATAAACAAAAACAAACTTCAATTCTATATTTACAACATTTTTTCTATTTACATTTAACACTTTTAAATTCAAGAAAATAAGCTAACACAATTATTTGTATAGCTTTGATTTAAGTAGGAAATAATAATAATAATAATAATAATAAGTACAATTTTAAATTTACAAAACATTAAATATATATAATTATTTATCTAATTGCATGCGATATGAGAATTAAATTGTTATATTGCTAAAATAACATTTTAAAAAAGGTCAGTAAATTTATTTTTGTTTTTTAAAATTTTTGATTTCTTAATTGAAATTATGTTAACATTTTTTTAGAAGATTTGTTTCGTAACATAATTTGACGGTAATAAAAAAGAATAAAGAATTATGATATAATAATTAAAAAATTATTTTAAAATAGTTGTTTATATAAATTTTTCACACATTGTATATAACAATAACACAATAAAATATTTTATAAAATTTAAATTTGAAATACACTAATACAAAAATAATAGCTCAAAATCCTAATTAATTAACATACCGACAACAATCTTTCATCTCCACTTTCAACTTGTTTTTTAGTTCATTCCTCAACTCATTCTCTCTATTTCTATTTCCTTCTCTCCGCTTAGCCCCTGGTCATTGTCTTCTTTATCTCTTTTCAATTTCTCTGCTTCCCACATTCTTTTTACTTCTTTCCAAATAATGTAATTCCTACGGCCGTATATATCATTTAGGGTGAAGACAACAGGAGATTAAAGAATCAATACGCATAAATTGAGTCATAATCCTAATAAATCAAACCCCTATAAGATTAAAATACAAAAAAACGCAAAATATAAATCATCAAATCCATCATCTATTACTATAGTGCAACTACAGAAGCAACAAATCTGAAAACGACCATGCCGTTAGAAGCAGTGCGGAGATCATACTACAAAATACTTTCTATTTGTTCATCTTCTTGATTTAATCAAGGTAGAAGACTCCTCTCAGCGATGATTTTTTATGATCATCAATTGAGTATCACCGGCGGCAGCGCTCGAAAGATGCTCTCGTCCAGATACACGTGGTACTCCTCCACCGAACAACACCGACGTGCAAGAACATGATCGGCACGGAATCCTCGCCGGCGGACAGCAACGGCTTGGCCATTCAACCGGAGAACTCCATATCGACGTCTAAGATCCAAGCGGAGAAAAAGAAGACTCAGCGGACAGTGGCGTGACACGTTCAGAAGACATAGGGCTATAGGTTATCTTATATATACACACACGCGAAAAATACTTGCATAATTAAAATAAGAAACGATTCAAATTTTTGTTAGTTATTTCCAAAAAACCACCCTTGGATTTCCTTTTAGAAAAAGTTTCCCCGAAGAAAAAGCTCCCATTTTCATCATTACATACATGCGTGCACGCATGTCAATTAAATCTGCATATAATTATGATATAATTAAAATTATATATATAAATAAATTTAATACAATATCTATGCAAAATAAAATTAATGTTATAATAAACTACATCTATCTCACATGTAAATATATATTTAAAACAAATAATTACAAAGATATCTATACAAATAATTATTATATATGATGCACATGATTTTAAAACATATATATTAAATATTATAATCAATAAAAATTAAATAAAAAAATGTAAAAATACTAAGAATTCAAATTTTATATAAGTTGGAATCCACATATATTAATATGATAAGATAAGATAAATTTATATATAATTAAATTTATAAGCATACAAAAATATTCGATGTAAAATTATAATTTACAACTTATACATATACAATTAAAATCTATCTCTACATTTATAATATTATTTATATATTAATATATTAGAAAATATATTATTAAATTATTACAATTCTATTAATGTATTAAGTATATAAAAATAACCATTAAATACAATTACATTACATATAAGTGAACTATAGAATAAACTCTTATAATAATATATATACATTTAAAAATAATCATTAAAATAAATATATATAACAATTATTATATATAATTCATATTTTTATAACCAACGATCAAAAGTAAAGACCAATCAAATTATTTTAAAAGAAATGCAAAATTGCTAGAAATTCAAGCTTTTTGCATGAGTGGACCCCTGAGCTCCTATAATATTATATATAGGATTGGGAAGAGTAAAATATTATAAATTTAATTAAATTGATTTATATTTTTCAAGTGTATTTAAGATTGATAAATTTACTTAAAAATAGAAAATATCACAAAAAAAGAAAATGAATCATATATGGGGGCCGAATGATTGATTTGTGTTTAATATGTAAATTTATTGTTAAGTTTTATCTATCACGTATATCATATTCAATTAATATATATTTGAATAATTTTTAAAAAAATTTAGTCAATTTTTAAAATTTTAAATGATTTTTTTTAATATAATATTTTTATTTATAAGTTAATGGCTAATTTTATTTTAAAAAATAAGTTTGAATAATTATAGTTGATATTTCAGTGACTATAAATACTAATTATTAAATTACATTATTTTTTGCTTATTTATTAAATTGGTAATAAAAAATTAAGATAAATGAATATATATTAATTTTTTAAAAAAATAATAAAAAAAATAGTTTTTAAAACAAATTATCTATTTTACTTTAGTCGTTGTTCTAATTTATATAAATAATTTAATTATATCATATATTTTTTATGTAATAATTATACTAAAAATTGTTACATAATTACTGGACAATATATACTAACTTTATAATTAATTTTTTCAACTTATAATTTTAATTTTTTTTTAAATTTTTTATATGAATGTTAAGTTTTTCCGTATTATTGGATGAATTGACCTTGACCATATTGATATTCTATTAAAAAATTTACAAAATAAAACATATTTTACACGTATAAATATACATATATATTATTTAATTGTTAATTATTTTAATATACTAATATATTTTTTAAATATATAACAAGAAATGATATATAATTTTATTAACATATTTATAGATTGTGGTCGCATGGTAAATTTAGTATGAATTATTGAAGACTTAATATAAAATATTTGCCATGATTCTTGCAAATCATTAATTTACGTGGAAGAATATTAACATTTTAATAATTAATTTAAGTTGAATTGAATTTGCAGTGGATGGATATGAATTGAGTTTCCATTCCCAGCTGGCGTCTAGTCAGTCAGTCATGCCATGTCATCTCATCTGACTTGACTCTTAAATTCACTCATAGAGCACATCATCCTTATTTAATCTGAATCTGAATCTGAATTCTCAAATCAGACCATGTAACTAACTGACTAGAAAGAAAATCCCAAAATATTCATGAAGCACCAAAACTCCCAAATACAATTGAATGAGCGAGATAACTAACATAACCAAGTCCGCTATTCTTCTGGAACACAAAACACAAGATCCATGGCCCGGCCCAAATCACTGCAGCACGAAACAAGAAATACAGGTTGTATAAGACAACTAGAGAATAGAAGAATCAATTACGGCTTTGAAACTCAAGGTCTATGCTCAATTGTAGTTTGTTATAAACAAATACATTCCAACCATGCGGATCGTTCGTATAATTGACTAACATATTGTTAACTTGAAGTTCCTGGCTGCAAGAATGCCAGGTTAGAACAACAGGGTGGCAGTTCTCTACCTAAGCATCTTTACAGCAAGGCAGCTTGTCGATAGACAAAACACTGAAATGGCTACTCAGTTACTGGTTATGAAAAGAAGATGAGTCGGTGTATCGTGCTTTCCCAGCTGCATGAATGCTACACAATATTGTGATGATTTATCTATGCAGCAGAATACAAACAATAATCATAACACTTCCAAGAAGCTATGAAGCTTCTGAGAAGGATTATGCATGAAATCTCACCTCAAAATGCTCAAACCACCAATCTATCCAACTAACACAAGAATCCATTTCTTGGAAATATACTCAAAAAATCTTCTTCTATTGTTTTAGTTAATTGTGATACATACTGAACAATTTTGACAAAGCTCAAGTTTTTACCTCAAATGTTGCTTGGGTACATGAACACCCTTACTCTAGCTCCCTGTATACACACAAAAATTGCAAATGTCAATAAAAACGGCTTCTAATAAAAAAATCCATAATGATACATGCTTCGGTAAAACAGATCAGATAAAATCCTATTAACTTTCAAATGCATTTGAAAGTATTAATGGAAGCATTCTTCATAAAGTCCACTTAAAAATAATAATAGTAACAGGAAGAAGTATTTCGCCTGGCAGAAGCTATGCAAAATCTATGGATTATCTATTATGGAGTCTTACAGAATTCCAACAATGTCTAAATCAATGTATGCACAGCCAAAATTGAACATTTAATAATAATAATAATAAAGGATTATCTATCCAGCATCGACTGCAAAGATATCAGTACAAAATATATATTAATTTTGGAGATCATACCATGGATTTGGGGGGAAGATTGGACTTAAACTTGGCACGGACGACCCCGCTGTTGCCATGGGGACGCGTAACTTTGCCCCAAATGCATCGGTAGTGCGAGCCATCCTTCTTAACCTTGGCCTTGTAAATGTACGCCAAGCGCTTCCCGAGGTACCAAGCCACTTCCTCAGTCGTGTTCACTCCCTCTATCTGAATCAACGACGTGTTCGGATACTGATTTGACTTAGACCTATCATCAACATCAGCGACATCATTTTAAGAAACAATCAATACCAAACCAGAAATCCAACAAAAGAGTAGCTTTTCCACCTTTTATACCCAAGAACTGTTCCCCGAACATACAATCTACAAAATTCAAGATGGAACAAAAAGATTATTAATTTCAAGAAGAAGTGTACACAATATGCTTCCACACGCATGATCGAAACACCACAAGTAGGTAAAATCAAACGAAAACCTGACGCGTTCCCCCTGGCGGCCCTTCACCATTGTGCCTGCAGTATGAGAGCTCCGGCAGACGCACGAGTGAAGAAGACCGTTTAGAACCCTAGCTTTTGTCCTTAAATATTCAGTAGGCTATAAATGGGCCTAACATATTGGGTGAAAATAATCTAGAAACTGAAATGGGCCCGTACCCAATAATAAATATATTTTTTATCATAAAACTTGAATTGAATGGATGTTTGTTTTTTGGTAAAATTATGGCTTATAGAACAGTAAAATCGAATGTATTTTTGGTAAAGTCAGACCAACAAATCAAGTCATATATTGTATTTTGTCGATATACATTTTGTGCTTTATTTGGCAGTAGATTATTGATTAACATATATGATTGATTCCCATGTCCCATTATCCATCCCATGAATTGGCCGTCTCTCTCAACTCAATTAGTTGCTGCTCCACCTCCACCTCCACTCCACGGCCCTGTGAGCAGTTTTTTCTGGTCCGAAAAATAAGGACCCAAAATTAAAGAACCGATGGAACCATCCTATCCATGATCCAACCCAACTTGGATTGACTGGATTAATTAATATCATATGATCGTCTTATTATCATATATGATCGTCTTATTATCATATATGATCGCATCCATCGTTAATCATATGATTTCTGCGAATGAATACAATACCCTCCTCCACATAATGATCGATCCATCGTTAATCATGACCTAATCCCCCATGAATCCCATTCCCATTCCCATTCCGATTGATCAAATTTTAATTGATTAATTAGTTAGCTTCTAATTGGATCCGTTTGTGTTTCATCTATTATCTGATTCCATCGAATATGAATCTTAGCCATCCCTCTCCTCTCCATCATCTTCTCTCCTCATCCTCCTCCTCCCATAATAATGTCACTCACAACCGCACCTCCGCCCACGTTCACGCACCAACGCCGTAGGGTTGCCGATGCCGCCGACAAAGATTATTCGTCTCTCTCCACCGCCCTAGACCATAGCAAGATTAGCGAAGTCGACTTGGAGGCCTTGCAGGGAGGAGGCAATGACGGCGCCGGTGGAATTCCCCATCACCCGCGGTGGTTTTTGCTACGTAGGAGGTTGCCAGAGAGTCTGGTTTTGCGCGTCCAGGGGTTCCTCTTTCATTTGAGGAAGACCGCGAAATCTTCGGCCACGCTGTTCCGCCGGGTGTTGGCGATTCTTCTGATGATGATGATGCTATCGGTCCTCTCCAAGAATTTCTTGTTCGGCGGCGAGGTCGATCAGAATGCAGCTGTGATGGCCGGGGAACAGGAGGAGGCTGTGAAGATTAATGATGATCAGGATCTCAAGAACGACGGCTCGTCGGAAAACGCCGTTTTGGACTCCGATTCTGACTCGTCCTCCGCGAGGCATCATATTAAGGAAATTCCGGTTAACCCTTGTTTCTTCCTCTTCTTCTTCATTGGGTCTTTTTTTTAATTATTATTTGTAATAATCAGTTTGAAGCTATCTTACGGTAAACAAATGCATATAAATGATTTGATTATAAATTAATTAAGTGATGGGGCTTTGTATGTATATGATCAGTTCAGTTTCACATCAGATAAGATCATTTCATTTCATTTTATTTATACTATATACATACAAAAATTAGGGTTCGTTAATTAATTAGAATGCATCGAAAGTCAGGCCAGTTTGCGGCTGCAATCTCAAATTCTAATCATGCATGCCATCAATTAATTGCCGATATATATGATTGGGTTGTTTTTACTTAATTAATTAATTAATGAAAACTAGGGTTTCATTTATTAATCAACCAATGAAAATTCATGAGGGATGGATATCATGTGTTTTACAGGAACAGGAGCAGATGGAAACATCATCATCATCGGAGATATGGATGAAGCCCAAGAGCGATCACGATGTTTATCAATGTATTGGTCGCCCCAGGACTCACCTAACTGGTACGTCTGTCTGTCTATCTCTATATATCCATATCTATATCTATATCTATACATATACATGATACGTGTATCGCTGGTGGTGGTGCAGGAAATGCAGACTGGGGTGGTGGTTTACAGACGAATGGTTATATTCTAGTGCATGCCAATGGAGGGCTTAATCAGATGCGACTAGGGGTAATAATTAACATTCAGTCCAATCCAATCCAATCCAATCCAATTCAATTAATCAATATTGATGATAATTAACTGGATGTGGTGCTGCAGATATGCGACATGGTTGCAGTGGCAAAGATTATGAACGCCACTCTTGTGCTCCCCTCCCTCGACCACTCCAGCTTCTGGACCGACCCCAGGTAGTAGTAATCCCTCCCTATACATCCAATACATGGATGATCATATCACATCAGATTATCAATTTCTTAATTTCTCCATTAATCTATAACAACAATCATATATGGTCTGGTCTAATTAGTGATTTTAAGGACATCTTCGAGTGGCGCCACTTCATCCAAGTCCTCCGGGAAGACGGGGTCGCCGTGGCGGAGGACCTCCCAGCCGACCACGCCTCCCTGAAGCCCCTCAGCAGAGCCCCCGTCTCCTGGTCCAAGCCCACCTACTACCGCGGCCACCTCCTCAGGCTCCTCCGGCGCCGGAAGCTCCTCCGCTTCACCCACACTGACTCCCGCCTCGCCAACAACGGCCTCCCCCCCTCCATCCAGCACCTCCGCTGCCGCACCAACTACCACGCCCTCCGCTACGCTCCCCCCATCCACCGCCTCGCCGACACCCTCGTCCGGAGGCTCCGGGCCGCCGGACCGGACCCCCACTACATCGCCCTCCACCTCCGCTACGAGAAGGACATGCTGGCCTTCACCGGCTGCACCCACAACCTCTCAGATCCCGAGGCCCGGGACCTCCGGGACATGCGATACCGCGTCAAGCACTGGAAAGAGAAGGACATCGACGCCGGCGAGCGCCGCCTCGAGGGCGGCTGCCCGATGACCCCCCGGGAGGCGGCCCTGTTCCTCAAGGCCATGGGCTACCCCGCCTCCGCCACCGTGTACATCGTCGCCGGAGAAATCTACGGCGCCCCCCGGAGCATGGAGGCCTTCCAGGCCGAGTTCCCCAACGTCTTCACCCACTCGACCCTAGCTACTCCCGAGGAGCTGGAGCCGCTGCGGCGCCACCAGAACCGGCTGGCGGCGGTGGACCACGTGGTGGCGCTGGAGAGCGACGTGTTTGTGTACACGTACGACGGGAACATGGCGAAGGTGGTGCAGGGGCACCGGATGTTCCAGGGTTTCCGACGGACCATAAAACCGGACCGGTTCAACTTCGTCAGGGTTGTCGACATGCTGGACAGTGGGTCGATTTCGTGGGACGAATTCGCGGCGGAGGTGAAGAGATTGCACGCCGACAGGCTCGGGGCGCCCAGCTTGCGGCGGCCCGGCGAGTCGCCGCGGTTGGAGGAGAACTTCTATGCCAACCCTTATCCAGGTTGTCTCTGCCGGCGAGACGAGGACAGCACCACCACCACTAATTAATTACTTAATATTGTTATTGTACTTTTTGATTCTTAATTTCTGTGAAGTGCAGAGATGAGTTACGTAGTCAGCAGCAGATGGATAACATTATGATTAGTTAGAGATTTTGATTGATTCGTTTTCTTGAGCACAATACTAATTACTATTAGAAGATGGGTAATAAGATAATTAAACAATGAGTATATATATATAAATGCAGGCAGATCAATGAAAAGGGCAAAAAAACTGGTTAATTAATTAATACATGCATAGTTGAATGACGGCAGGCATGCATGGAATTGAAATTATATATATATATATATAGTGGTAAAGTATATTGTATATCCATCCAACATTATTATATATAGTTAATTATCCCAATCAATCAATTCTGGGCTGCTTCACTATTGTTTATTGTATATCTGCAGCTGCAGCAGCAGCTGTTATTTTAAATTATGAGCGCTACATATTATTGCTGTTACAGCGCCACTTAAATATACGGCAGTAGTAAAACATTAATATACAGCACCATAATCCACCCCTATTTGAAATTTGAATCGAGCTTGTAATTTATACTATATTATATTAATTAATATTACATTTACCTATATAGATGATGAATTCAAAGCAAAGTCAGAATGAATAAATATTAAATAGTAGGAGGATTCTTCTCCAACAAACTGAAGAAGAATTATTCAACGAATGTATGCATGTATGTATACAGTTAGTTCTACGACGTGCATGACTTTAATTTGTGACGTGGGGGACTGTAGTCTGTAGGTAGGAGCCTCTCCCATTAATTTGTGGATTTCCAATATTCACATATCATTCAGGTCAACCTAGACCCCATTCCAATATTTTGCACGTAGACTGACTGACTCACTGGCTTACCAAGTCCTCGCTTTTTGTCCATTAATAAATTTCCCAATGCAACTCTTGTTTTTTTTATTATTTCTTTAAGTTTCTGGGTAGAAAAAGAAAATAAAAAAACGAATACTAGTAGTGTGATTGATGCAAGCTATTCTATTCAGAAACTTCTCTTTTACCGTATAATAATAATAATATTATCATTCAAACCACGTGTATGTGTGTGTGTGTGTGTGTAAGACGAAAAGTAGAATAGTTACGCGTAATTAATTCACTAGTTATGGAATTAGAATGTAAACGTCTGTGTAGAAACTTCAACTACGCGTCTATAGAAAAATTAGAATGGACGTGCCTGCCGGTGCCTACATAACATATACATATGTATAAAAATTAAATAAATACCGACAAATTAATTGATAATGGTCAAATTACATACACACAAACACATACATACTGAAAAATAGGAAATTGGACAAAAAATGATACGTACGTATATTAGCTGGCCTAGGCCTACCTTCTAGACCAGTCGGAATGGGCAAGGGCAACGCCGATCCGTAATTAGTTGACATATGTACATGTATATATATATATATAAGCTGATGTTCTTCTCCCTCCACTTACGTACGTTAGCCTCTGTGCATTAAAAACCACATATAATTCAATTCAATTTTGCTTCAAATTAGGTGGGTACCTGTGCTGTGCCGTGCTTCCATATATACACACAAATCCATCCATCTTCATCAAGAACAAACTCATTAAGCTAATTACAATTAGCAAGAAAGACATGCCTTCTGCCATGAAGCTCCCAGCTTTCATCGTCTTCTTCGGCCTCTCTTCTCTCCTGATGCAGCTTCAACAAATTAGAGGTAATTAATTAAGCACCATATAATTTTGCATGTCTATTATTCTATGTTGCTCAAGATTAGTATTTAATATAGTTTATATTTATGTATGTTGTGGATATGGCAGGCGAGGTGATCTGCGACAACTTGCCGGCGGGGCTCTGCACGCTGGCGGTTGCGTCGTCGGGGAAGAGGTGTGTGCTCGAGAACTACCGGAATGACAAGGGGAACTTGGAGTACACCTGCACCTCGTCGGAGGTCGTCGTCGAGAGACTCGCCGCCTACATAGAGACCGACCACTGCGTCGCCGCCTGCGGCGTTGACCGTCAGTCCGTCGGAATTTCCTCCGACGCCCTCCTCCAGCCTGAGTTCGTCGCCAAGCTCTGCTCCCCGCCCTGCTACGATAACTGCCGCAACATTGTCGATCTCTACTTCAATCTCGCCGCCGGCGAAGGTGCGTACCATTTAATAAATTCATATATATGTATATATAATCACCTCATTAATTATTGCATAATTAATTAGTGCTCATATATAATTAATTAATTATCTTCAGGAGTGTTTCTGCCGGCGCTGTGCGAGAAGCATAGGTCCAACCCCCACCGCGAGATGCTGGCGATATTGAGCAGCGGCGCCGCCGCCTCTGCTGACGCCACTGCCGCCGCCCCGACCCCCGCTCCCGTCTTCGGTTCTCCGGCGCCGCCACCCTCTGCCTTTTAATAATAATAAACACGGAATTGCTTTGGTCTGTTTTTGGCAGAGTTCATTGTTTATTAATTAATTAATTAATTATTACACCGATGACGACGACGACGATATATGTGTTCTTATCTTCCTAAGTTGTGCGGCCTCTTCGTCATCCTTTCTATTCCTATGGTTTTGAGTTGTAATAATAATACTAGTTATTTATTTATTTATTATTTATCTATCATTATTTGTTGGTTCTGAAATTGGATTTACAGCAGCAGCAGTGTATCGATCAAGAAAACAAAAATTCGAAGTTATTACTCGACACAATAAGGAAATTTATACAATTGGACTTGGCATGGCATCGAGTAATGCAGTGTTAGCGTAATTTATCTGTCTCTATCTATGTATGTATCTACACAAATTGGCAGACAATGGAAGGAAGAAGACAAGACAGACAGACACAACATATAAGAGAGAGAACGAATGAACTTTGAATTCCAATTGCAAATCACACACCATTGCCAACACCATCGTGCACCACATTTCCTCCTTTCTCTATAAGCTTTGAGTTGCTGCTCTGATTTCTTGCTCTCTGAACCTAAAATAAACCAACATACGTACATATATATATATATATTTAGTCCCTCCAAAGAACAGAACCCCGACAGAATACAAACCATACCTCAACAGAGTTTCCATTGAGGAGTTTGTAAGTGTCATCTTTAGCCCTATTATCCTTGCTCAACGGGAGCAGCTGCGACGCAGAACCACTCGAACGATCAGGCAGCTCTGCGGCAACAAATGTAATCCAGGTCAGGCTTTCAGTAGCCAAAAAGAAAAACAGATAAGGCTGCTAATCTAATCTATCCAAACCTGGCAACTTTTTGTCTATGCAGAACACTATCAAATTAACCGTGTACCTGCGTATGAAAATATTAGCTAGATGATCAATAAGTTTTTTTCTTTCTTGGAAAATGCAGATTCGAAAACTTGAAAGATGACTTACCATGCAACGATCACATCAACAGTATAGTGCTTTCGGGATGCAATGATCAACAAGCTTTGCATCACAACCAATAGCCAGGCGCAATACTCGACAAACCTGTGTGTGTATGTTTTAATCAAAGCCTAAGATACAAAGTTCAAGTCAAGACGCGAACTAAGAATGGAAGTACCTTCTAGTTCCATATTTGCCGTATGTCCGAACAAAGACCAGTGAAAATATCATGTGAGAAGAAAATATCAAATCGCCACAGCCGTAAATCACTCCCTTAGGGACTGCAAAACCACAATAGTTCTAATAAACATGGTGTCGGATGTTTCATTGGCATAAGAACACCTAACAGGGGTCTAACAAGGTAACTGTCGCTTACAGTTAATTAGCAGGACCTCTAAAATACTATCAGGGCAAGGCAGCCGAGCAAGCTTTGATCCCTTCATCATTCAGAACAAATTTTCAAGCATAAATTACACAGCGGCTAACAAAGACTACATATATATAAATGATGACAGCAATCTTAAAGAAGTAAAGTGCCAACAACCAACATCAATGTGGATTGAAATTTTTTACCTCTCGACAATGATAATTTGGACCGGGGAGCTGGGTAGAGAAGAAGGTGATGATTCGAAGAAATTGGCAAGCCTACACAAAGTATGCAAACAAAGGAACCACAAAGACAAAGAATCAGTACATTTGTCCTGTTTTTGATTATGTTATCAAATCGAAAATCCTTTTTCACTAATAAAAGATTTTTAACCATTGCAATCAACCATCAAAGACCAAAGAGAAGATAAAAGATTTGTACGTACAACTAAGAATGCCAGAACCCTGCACCATATCAAGACAGTGTAGATCTTCTTCCTCTTCATAACAAAGGGATGGAAAGTCCACTGCATGTAGAATTAAGCAAATACCTAGAGATTTATCCATGAACTAAAAATAAATTATTATGAAACAAGTGTCAAGCAGGACGAGGACTCACCAAGACAAAAGATATAAAAATAGTGGCGAATACAGTTTCACTGATGTATGCTTTGTCCGGCCCAAGTTCCTAAAGTTAATCCGACAAAGCTTAAGAAAAAAGACATATAGATCAAAGGAATGCGAGACATATTATCATTCATAGTTTCAGCTATACCGGGAGAAGAAAGAAGCCAGCATCCTGAAGTATAGGTCCCGGTCGATGTAAATAGTGAACTACTCGAGCAGCAAGCCCATGGATGTACTGATGATCAAAGACATTACAGATTTTGAATGTATTAGAACCCAGTTAAATCCCAGTAGACAATAAATCTAATGCCTACAACAAAGAAAATCGTTCACTGAGAGCAACAGCAAGAAACATTTAAGAAGGCACTTAGAGGCAATGGTTGATTGAAAGGCATAGAAAGCTATCTGATAAGTGAACAATTAATTTCTCAGGGCTCACTATATCATTGCCAAACTATCTGTGGAAAGTAAGTCTTTAGAATATGAAGGAAGGAACAAACCTGACAGATGATACCCCCTAAAATATATTTCCAGTTTTCTGCAAGGAGTTTGATTTCTATGGTGGTCTCCGTACAAACTCTCTTCCACAACTTTTCATAATTCAGAATGACAGAAGAATAAAAACAACAAACGTCATAAAGCAAATCACAGGCAGTATGTACGTATGTATTGAGAGAAAAGTCGAACCTTTGAAGCCTCGCGTCCAACATAAAACGACATCGTTTGTATCAACAACAGCCAATAGCAATGATGCCATTATATCACAAAAGACATGCTTTCGAGAATCATAATGATCGTCGTCGTAATCCTTATATATATATAACAATCCTCCCCAGTTTCAAACAACAAATCCCTCTATGCATGTATCATATATTATTGAACGAAAAAAACGAATGGAATGAAAATCCTCCAATGGTACCAAATCCAGGGAGGCAGAAGGGAATTTGGAAAGCAGTGGTGGTGGAAGATGAATGCGAGGTATTCTCCAAGTTTGTTGAGGGAAAACTATGAAATGCCCGTCTGGCTTGGGTGGATTAAAATTCGGAAATGGGGCAGTAAATAATAACAATAATAATTGTGATTTTCTTACCTCTCGTCCTGCTCCTCTACGGTGTAGGTGTTTGTGTGTGTGTGTGTGTGTGTGGATGTCTATCTGAATCCATGGATTCACCCCCCACTCCAATTAGCTCTCTGCCACGATCTGCAATCCCGAGTGGAAGACGGAGGACAGTTGGGCCTCGCACCGCACAAGCACAAGCACAAAAATTATTAATATTAATATTCGAAATTTGAAATCTCTAAGCATTGGATAATCAAAATAATAGTAATAGTAATAATTTCTTATAAATGATAATATTTTGTTCTTATCTGTATAACAGATATAGGATTAGTTACTGCCATGCATATGATATGACAGTATATCCCAACAACGTTATTTATATTATACCCAATCAAACTCGTATAATACATAAAAATACTATAAACTATATCATAATACTACTACTACTATTACTATTACTATTACTATTACTGTTACTGTTATACTCCATTAATGTTTCTAATAATCATAATAATAATAAAACACTTAGCATTATTTATTTATGTATTTCTGATCGTCATCCTCAGCATCTATCTTTATTAAAGACGTCGTGTCATGGATTCTGCATTCTGCTGTGTATGCTAAATAGCTAGCTACCATCTTTGGGTAAAAGCTAAAAGGTCTCCAGAAGCCCAAATTCTTATTCTCATCTCACACTACTGACTGACTGACTGACTGTAACACCTCTTTTTTATAAACAAACAAGCAACTCTCTCTCATCACCTCATCTTCATCTTCATCTCCGCAACAACAAACTAAATTGATGTCTCATATTCCCCCAACCCTCAAACCCCATCATCATGTCCAGGGGGGATCTTTCTCCATGGACGCTTGGTATCCTTTTTCCGACGACGACGATGATCACCACCACCTGCAGCAGCAACAGCTGATGAGGCCTATGCCCATGCCCATGCCCATGCCACACAATTGTAATAATAATAATCACAATCATGTTATTCCTCCTCCATTCATGATCCCCAGTACCATTAGGCCGCCGTCGTCCCTGCCGCAGCAGCAGCAGCAGCTCCTCCGCCGGCTGCAGCAGCAGCCTCATAATTACCGGAACTGGAAGGACACCCCGGAGGCCTATATCCTCACGGCCAGTCTTCCTCAAGGAATGACCAAGGATGATATCAACCTCACACTAGTCCAATCAGATAACAACAATCACAAGGTTCTGAAAATCACAGGACATAAGGAGGCGGAGAAGAAGGAAGAGATACACGACGACCACCACCACAACAACAGCTGGTACCACATGGAGCAGAGCAAGGCCAGATTCTTCCAGGCCATTTCCTTGCCGGAGAATTCCGATGCCCATCATCTCAACTATACCCTCGACCTCGACATTAATGGAGGAGGACTCCTCACCGTCACCCTGCCCAAGAAGGATCCCAAGAACATCCTCGTCCATGGCTAGCTATATACATACCAGCTTAATTATTATTTATTATAGATACTATATAATAATTAGTATCTACTTCTTGTAAGAATGGATTGTTATATATGGCGTGTTTTTGAATAATTAATCAAATACATATATTCCGATTTCAGTATTGGAAACTATTAGCTTGTCTGAACTCAAGTGACGAGGAAAACAAAGTGACAGCCTGGAATCCTTGGCACTCATATATTTTTCGTTTCCCAAATCCATCCTTGTATTTGTATTATATACATACACGACACCATATCCTCCACAGCCACAGGGGGACTGCCCTGCCCTCTACGTCTCTCTCAATTATAATTCATTCCCAATCTGAAATTAACAAAATCCAACAGATTTTCTCTTGTGTGCTGTGCTGTGCTGAACAAGGAATATCGATATATATGCCGCCACAGGACGATCCGATGCCAATGCCCATGTCTCCACCGGCCCACGACGGCGGAGGGATGATGGCCGCCATGCACATGAGCTTCTTCTGGGGGAAGGACGTCGTGGTCCTGCTCGCCGGCTGGCCTGGCTCCGGCCGCCTCGGCATGTATGTATTGGCCCTCGCAGTCGTGTTCCTGCTCGCCGTGGCGGCGGAGGTCCTGTCGGTGGTCCCCAGACTGAAGCCCAGAGAGATAAGCCCGGCGGCGGGAGCACTGGTCCACGCCGCCGTGTACGGCGTCCGTATGGGGTTAGCTTACCTGGTTATGCTCGCCGTTATGTCTTTCAATATCGGAATATTTATAGCGGCGGTGGCCGGCCATGCCCTCGGCTGCTTCCTCATCAAGTTCAGGGCGCTGACGGCGGTCGCTAGGGCCGCGGAATACAGCCCCTGATTTGTTGCCTTGCCCCGAACCGATTAATTAACTATATATATAAATTTTTACTACGTCTCCAATCAGTCTCCGTCCTTACATCCTTGAATATTTCTGGTTTCTGTATATAAGTTTTGAACATTCATATGATCAATAATAAATTAATATTATATTACACTTTTGTGTTGCGAATTAATTAAAACTCGAGAGGCAAGTCTTGAATATCCATATTAGTACGACTACTATTATTCTCCGTCGATGGGGTCACTTTCGAGACATTATCATCGACTCATCTCATATGATATGATATTCGTTCTTGCTATCCTTTAGGGGAATAGGGTTCGATTCTCTTTTTGTTCTGTTCTGCCTGCCACACTTGTAGTTGTTCGTCGTTAGTCACTAGAGTAGAGACAGACCTAGGCCAGGCCCATTTTACTTTCTTACAAAAAAGAACACACATGCTTTAATTGCTGCAAGCCCAGCCCCGGCCCATTCTCGTAAGTAGTTTCAATCTAGCCCAACCAAGACATACAGCCCATTATTATCATAGACAGCCCCAAAGCCAACGCATATAATCTATCTTATCTATATATCTTTTTCTTGATACACTAATCATTTTTAGTGAGATTGTAAACACAACTTTTATATTGAATATATAGCTATAGTATTCATATTATCGACAGGTACAAATGTGGTGGTAATTGACAATAGGAATGTTGCTGGTAAAATGGAAGTAGAGATTATTTTCGGTTGATGCACGTAATTGATAAGTTGATGAGTTGGGTAAGCTACCACGCCCTGCTATGCTATCTTGATTTGGTAAATAAGCATACACATGTGTATTTAAGTTTTTTTTATAATAATAAGTTATTCTCATATTTGGGGAGGTAATACTAATAACAAGCATTTTATTACAAGACTTGTGGACTAAAAAAACAAGTTAAGGCCAAGAACGGCTTCTGCTATTTAAATATTGACGTGTAACAACTCCTCACTTGTCTCCTAGCGCACCGTTAGTGTAGTAGAATAATAAAATTTGATAACAATGGCAATGACGGCCAAGAAGCATAGTACACAAAAGTAGGCAAACAGTTGTTTTGCTTCCAGACAAAAACCACAGATAAAGCCAACCCTACACTTTCTTGCACATCGCGACAAAATAGCACCAACAACCTAATCTGTTTGGTGGCATTGAGATAAAAAGGAGGGTAGATTCTTGCCCCAATGCAACTTTATTCACTGATTAATAATCCTCCCTACTACTACTTTCAGGATCATCATGATCACCTACTAACTATACTAATACTATATCATCTACTATAATAATCTACGCCCATTTTCTATCTTACTTTACCCTTAATTATTACCCCACTTATGTTTGACTGACTTACCACCGGTCTGAAATTTGACCATAGGCCTTGGCTAGTAAGTCCATTCTAGAGGTAGCTGGAGTTCTTGGTTCACCACTGGCTGAGGCTGGTGAGGGGGTCCGACGCTCCTGGGCATAGCAGCTGTACTTGTTTGCTTCAATGCAGCAGCATCTGAATAATGTGGGTTGTGTTATCAAGACACGACATATATCTATTAGTCAAATTCAGCTTCATACAGAAATTCTTTACCAAGCTCGGTGGAGAAATGTCCGTGTGGCTTGGGATGGCCCCTGGCATCAATGGGGTCCAGTTTCAGGTTCAGGGCGTGGACCACTTTATCCGGAAGCAAAACAGTGGAGCAACCTGTTGCACATAGGAATTCACGAATTCTATCAGGATCAGATGTGAAAGGAAAACGAGAAAGTAACCCCACAACAAAACAAACAGAATCGGGGGGGGGGGGGGGGGGGGGGGAGTAGAACATTAATGGGAAAAGAGAACATATATAGGAACCAGACAGACAGAGCATTGAACTGAATGGCAAGAATAAAAAGACACCCATGTGATCAGCAGCCAAAGCGAATTAATATCATCAACGAATTAAGAACAACATTATTCCATACATTAATGCAACTGCTAACAATATTATTAGACTGCGCAGTCGAGGAAGGATTGTGGAGGACCTGATTTCTTGCGTGGCTCAGTACTGGAGTTCGAGCCATATCTTCTTGGCATGAAAACGCCCGTCCCTATTCGTTCCTTTTTCTGCCCGACTTCTCCCAGAAAAACCGCTGTTGTCCCTGAAGCGGGATGGTGCCATTGCTGCTGCTGCATTTGAGAGTGTTGCAGACTAGTCCAACCGGACATTGACAGGCCGTTCCTCCTTCCACTCTGGAACCCCATGACTTCGGCATTCCTCATCAGCTGCTGTTTCTTCATCTGCTGAAACTGGATATATAGGAAGCCAAGCACAAATTAGGACGTCGTCGTCATTCCTTTGTCGACTTAAAATTAACGAGAGGAAATGCAGGAGGAAGATGGTACTTACACGAGCTGCTTGCAACTGGTGATAAGTATGGTGCGTTGGTGCCTGATTTTGATTCCGGTAAAAATTAGGGACTGGACTAGGGCTTTGTTGCGATTTAGGGATGAACCTGGGCTTGGACGGTTGTCCGAAGAGCTTCGTCGAATAAAACACCGCCGTTTCTTCAATCATCCGCATCCTTGCAGCCTCCTCTGCTGCTGCACACAGAAGTTCCCATCGCTGGACATCTTTCGCATCCGGAGGTGAGCAAGCACGCGACACAAAGTTCGAGTCTCCCTTCGGAACAGGTTTTCGGTAACCGCAAAGAGTTGATTGCGGCGAACCCGGCAGTTTCCAGACCTTCAAAAATGAAAACAAAATATATCCCAAATAGTCATTTCACTGTAAATCAAATAAGCTTAGGACGGAAGGAATCATTGATAGATAGATACCTCTGCTGTTTTCTCGGGGGGCAAACTGGAGTCGTCTCGCAAAGTAGAGCGAGCGACTTTCCTGTTCAGCTCAGCCATGAAGTCGTCTTCGTCGCTCTCGGTTTCCGTCATCCCGGCGGCGGACAGAACGGGGGAACTGAGATTCGAACCGCCTCCAAACGAACTCCCGAGTCCGCACCTACCATCGTCCGTACTCTTCGATCCACAACGGTCGGTTTTGAAGTCGGTTAGCAAGTCCTCGTCCGTAAGAAACTCCGACGGTAGCCACAACTCCAAGTCATCATCCAACTCCTGCGCCATCACAATACGTGCTTCTTCCTTGTAAGAGTGAGAGAGAGAGAGAGAGAGAGCGTTCAACACACACACGATGCCCTAAAATATGAAGGCGGGCGTTCCAAAAGTGGAGTAGCGTGGATTGAGGGGTGGGACGTGCTGCTGTGCAATTATAACCACCACAGAAGTGGTGGAGCAGAGCAATCGGACCCAGCAGCAGCAGTTACAGAGAGAGAGAGAGAGAGAGAGAGAGAGAGAACGAATGAAAAAGGTGACGCTTGGTGTGCAGAAAAGCAATGCGTAGGGGAGTGGCTGTATATAACGCCAGAGCTCACCATCAGTAGTCTGCAGTCTGCAGTCTGCACAGTTCCGCAGTCAGCACTAGTCATAAATTCACGCATCAACGAGGGTCGAGGGGCGCGTGTTGTCACTCGCAGGCAGGAATTGTTGGAAAACGGCCCGGCAATGCCAGATCAGATCAGGCTGGTGGGACCCGCTTCAAACATCCCTGTGACTGTGACTGCGACCCATCTGTTTGTTTTTTTTGTTATATATTTTTTATTAAGATGACAAATTCCTTGGATTAAAAGAAGATGAATGGTCAATAGCGTGGAGAAAACGTGTTAGCGCCTACTAGTACTAGTACTAGTACTAGTGGAAGAACGATTCACGGCAGGTCTGGAAGATACGGAAATATATTTATATACTAAATTGCAATTTGTTATTATATAAATATATTAACTTGTGTTTTTTTTTTATCTTCTTGGAATTTCATATGATATAATTGCCTGAATTTGTAGTGATTATTATTAAAATAGTGATGTTATTTATTACGTGCTTATCCATCCCGTCGGGTTGTGCTTAGCCTTAGCATGCAAGTAAGTAGTAATTAGGGTGACGAAACTGCCCTTGTTTTTCTTGGTGACCTCTTTCAATTATTGATTATTTTTTATTATAAGCTTCTTCGAACATATTACGCACTCAATGGGACATCAGAGCAACCTAACTACTGCTACTACTACTACTTATCACAAATTCGGCATCTAATAATATAATAACGAATTTTTTTTTATTAGGAATATGGTCGCTGTAGAAATTCAAAGAGATATATATATATATATTTATATTTGCAGTAATTAAATTGTAAAAAAGAAAAGATTAAAAGAAATGAAATCAAGGACAATCTAACATGAATTTCTACATAGCATCGACCTAATTAATCAACGTACAACTTATTAAATTAAATTAATCAAATATAGAGTGTGTGCATTTGGAGTGACGATTATGTGGAATAATCAATCAGCTAATTTTGCAGGCAGACATATATTATACTAGTATTCATTTATATATTAATTTCAGTCTCGACTCGACTCGTCCTAAATATCAACATTTTCAACTTGTGTGTGTGTGTTTGTTTGTTTGTATACGAAATCCAAATATGTTATTTAGTAAACGTTTTGTTTTGATTTGATTTGGACCCAAATGTGTGTTTTCTTTTCAAAGATTTTGGCGCCCCGCACCACCTCAATTTTCACTTTTTTGGTCAACTAACTCGCACTACTTAAAATTCAGCAAAACTGCCTCCACTACATATAATTAATTTTTTTAATTTAATACCAGCAGCAGAACTGGATTTTATTTTATTTTATTTTATTTTTGGCTTTTTTGCTTTACATTTATAAAATGCTATCGTGTGACTTGTGTTACTGGATTGGATCAATATTAAATATTTCATAGGCTATTTCAGACCTGAAATATTAAAATAAAGAAAAAAAATATACATTCAATTTAATATAAATAATTTATTTATTTTGGAAAATATTTTTGATATGGTAAAAAGCCGCAAAAACCCTACAACCAAAACACTAATAAAAAAAAGTTAGCAATTTAAATTGACTTTGGATAGATCATGTTTGGGCCAATCTCAATGGAGATTTTCTAAACGGGCTAAACCTGTATAGGCCCATTAGGAAGCCCAGAGTAAGACAAATTTAAAAGTAGTGCAACTTTTTACCAAGGAAAGCAATCCTTACTTATTATATATGGGTCACGTGTCTTTTGAAGGACCACCAAACGTATTCAAATTCAAAGAAAAGCTTCAACGGCTATGTAAAAAATAACACACTGAACATTAACAATCATCACTGAATCAAACGGTACATAACGACTTTCCCCTTTCCTATTTAGTTTTTTAAAAAAAAAAAAAAATTAAAGAAAAAAATGAAATGAAAGTGAGTGACCTAACAAATTAATGGTTGTTGGGAGGGTGTTGTCTTTGTATTTATTCAGTTAGAACTACCAGCACTAATGGCTGCATAAGCAAACCCATATAGACACCTTACAAGGGAAGTCTCCAATCAATGAGGCCTATTTAATCAATGGAGAACAGAAAAAAAGTGTTGTCATTTGAAGCAAGAACAAGTACTGATTACACACCATTAATCAATTAACTAGTAGTAATTCTTTTTGTCCATTAACTGGGGGAAATGGAATTGGCTTTTTTTTTTTACAGGGACAAGACGTACCTACGTCGTCTTCAGATGTCCTAATCAGTCTGTAGATAGAAAGAAAGAAATGGGCACTGACCAGCCAGTGAACATGATGAGTTTTGTCTCTTGTTATATGATAATGGTTCGCCAAGAATGCCATTTCTGAATTCTGACAAGTAAAAATACGAGGTGGTCTTGTTACTGTGGTTTTAATCTTGGATCAAATTTCAAGTGATTGATTGGGCAGTAAAACTTGAAAAAAAAAGGGTTTTTATGAATGAATTCCAATTACTTTTAGAGGGCAATGATGGCCATAAGTGTGAGGGTGACAACCTCAACCTCCTCGCTCAAGTTTGGTTGTCTTGAAGAAATGAGTTTTTAATGTGGAGGAAACACCCAATTAAAGAAACTATTCCAGCATTCAAGACTCCCTTTTTTTTCTCTCTCTAAATGCTCATTTCATCTCCATCTCTGTGGGCACTTATTCACCCATCATTCATTCATGCAATTACCTTGGAATAATTATTGTTTCCATTACTCCTTGCGTTCAAAAAACTTCCGACACCTTCAACTTTACCGCTAAGAATAATAAAAAACCAAAACCCTTTCTTTTTCTCTCTCTCTCTCTCTCTCTCTCTCTCTCTCTCTCTCTCTCGATATCTAGAAACAGCACATCATCAGGTCACATCAAATTGTGGTCATTCAGCAGAACCCAACAAAACCCCGGCCATCATTTAGCAGAGAAGCCCAGATGGATATGGAAATTGAATGGTGGTGACCAGCAACAGCAAGCAATTCGAATTCCTAGGGATTCATTCATTCATTCATTCTCTCTCGCTGAAAATGGGGGACAACGAAGATGTTCTTGAGGGAAGAAGTACTTCTTGCACATCCGATACACTAATGAATGACGGCAACACTGTCATCTCCAATGATCATCATTCTTCTGATCTCCACGTATCCGACGATGATGCCCGGAAATTGCAGAATCTTACAGGTAGAGTTCGATTCTTCTTTAATTTAATTGTTTTCACTAGCAGTACCAATGTCTGAAAATGTCTCCTCTGTCTGTAATTGTGCGTGCCCTAAAAGAATCTGATATGATGAAAGAACGATTCTCAAAGCTGCTGCTTGGTGAAGACATGTCCGGCTGCGGCAATGGAGTCTGCACTGCTCTTGCTATTTCGAATGCCATCACCAACCTCTGCGGTCAGTCAATTTTCAGTATCTTTTACGAAATTTCTCCATTCATTCCTCTAATTCAGTCTTCTAACATTCACATCCATGGATTCCTTAGCCACACTCTTCGGACAAGTCTGGCGATTAGAGCCCTTGCCACCAGAGAAGAAGCTAATGTGGAAAAGAGAAATGGAATGGCTCCTCTGCGTCAGTGATCACATCGTCGAACTCCTCCCTTCTTCCCAGACATTCCCCGACGGATCAAAACTCGAGGTCATGACTCTCAGGCCTCGCTCCGATTTGTACATCAACCTCCCCGCCCTGCAAAAACTAGACAACATGCTGCTTGTAAGTTGTAAGAATATTGCTGTATGTTTCTTAATTTGATTTGTTCGAAACTAACTCCTCTTTCTTCATCAGGACATTTTAGACAGCTTCGAAAGCTCAGAGTTTTGGTACGTGGACAAAGGAATAGTAACCGATGGCTCGTCCTCATTCGGGAAAGCCCTTCTCCGGCAAGAACACAAATGGTGGCTTCCCGTTCCTCGCGTCCCTTCCGGCGGCCTGAGGCCCGAAGATAGAAAGTCACTGCAACACCGGCGGGAAAGCGCCAACCAGATTCTCAAAGCTGCAATGGCGATCAACGAGGCTGCCTTGGCTGAAATGGACGTCCCGGATTCCTACTTAGAGGCCCTTCCCAAGGTAGTGTCGAATCCTATCCGTCCATTTTTGTTTGGATTGCATTGTTATTCACAACGAAAATAAAGATAAATAGGCATAACAAACAAACCTAATGAATATAAAACAACTAAATCTAATCTAAAACTAAATAACTAAAATATCTCAACATGGCTCGTTTGCTTTGCTGCTGCAGAATGGAAGGATGAGTTTGGGAGATCTTATCCACAGGTGCATAAGCTCTGATCAATTCTCGCCAGATTATCTGCTCGACTGCCTCAACCTGTCGTCCGATCACGAAGCTCTCGAGATTGCTAATAAAGTGGAGGCTGCTGTCCAAGTCTGGCGCAGAAGACCGAGCACCGCAAAGCCTTTGCGTAGCAGTCGCCGCATGAATTCCAAGTCATCGTGGGAAATGGTTAAGGATTTGGTGAGCGACGCAGACAAGAGGGAGCTGCAGGCGGACAGGGCCGAGAGCCTTCTACTCTTGCTGAAGCAGCGGTTCCCTGGTCTGCCTCAGACAGCCTTGGACATGAGCAAAATCCAGTACAACAAGGTCGATGATCCTCTCCACTTATTTGCATTAACTTTTTATGTAAGAGTTTATTCGAACCGGAAAATATATAGGATGTTGGGAAGTCCATACTCGAGAGTTATTCGAGGGTGCTGGAGAGCCTCGCGTTCAACATCGTGGCGCGCATTGATGATCTTCTGTACGTGGACAACTTGTCGAAGCATTCAGATCCACTCATCTCACTCTCTCGGGTCAGTTATCGAATTCATCATCCCCTCGGACAATGTTAGCTTCAGACAACCTTTTTGTTTTACCTAAGTTGTTCTTACCACTGCAGCTGATAAGTCCAGCAAAGGGAGATACTTCGCCATACATCCAAAGCCGGAAGCTTTCCTCCGGCGTGCTCGGTTTGAAAAGGATCTTGACGGATTACTTGAGCACAGACACGAAGGGGAAGGAGACGAGGAGTTCGGACACATGCTCGACTCAAACTCAGGATGTCTCTGCGTCGCCATCGCAGGAGTCATCCAGTGGCCTGGAAGAATGAAGAATTCAATTTATTGCCAAACCTGTCTGGAATTTGATTCTTTTTTTTTTTGTTTTTTCTTTCCTTGTATGTGAATGTGCATAAAGAACACTAAAAGTTATTCTAATTAAACAACGAAAGGGTTCTCAATCATTCCCAATTCCCTGTGTTCATTTGGTTTCATTCAATTGAAGCTTACTCTGCTCTTCAGTTCAGACAACTTTCAGAACAGAGAGATTCGGACATATACAAAGAACATGAAGCGAAGGAAGTATATGTTCATTAACCAACGCCACATATTCATTATCCATTTTACATCCCAAAGACAAGACATGAAAGAAGAAGGTATACATTACCACACAGTCAGCAGTAACAAACGTCACATAATATATATACAGTATTATTATAATCATACAGACAAATTGGCAAAATCTTTTTTGAGTCCATGGGAATTGAATTGAATTGAAACCATAGTGAATTACAGGTTTCATGTAGGATCTTTCTCAGTAGTAAAGTGATCCTGCAGAAAACAAACAGACAAAAAAAAAAGAAATGAATCAATGGAAGAGCATTGGATGAGTAGAGACAGTAAGTAAGTACCCTGCCACCAGTTTCCCCGTGAAGCTGACCCTTTGTCATCTTCTCCGATTTCCTTACTGAACTGAACATGGAGATTCACAAAGTCATCAGCCAAGATCCCTCAAATCAGGCAAGAACATATATCTTCACAGAAAACAGATATTTGTGTCTTATGGTCCAACAGTGCTACAAACATATTCTGCAATTTAATTTCAATGTGGAGAAAGGGGAGGGGACTGACAGTAGTGAGTGGAGCAGGGTTGTTGTTAGCAGCAGCATTCTGAGGCTGAGAATACACCTCTTGACCGCCATAATATATGGACGAACTCCATTGAAACGGCTGCTGCTGTTGCACCTTTTGCTCTAATTGGTAATAAGGGTTAAAGTTGTCGCTTGTCGAGCTCCCAGGATGATTAATGCAATCTGGTAATGATGAGTGAGTAACTTGCCTGAATTAATGAGGAAGGGTATATAATAGTATATATATAATGGCGGGCATTGATGAAAATACTTAACTGGAGATCCCCCCAGTCACAGATGCATTCTTCATGTCAGCTCCAGACAGTTGCAGAGGCTGAGGCCGAGGCCGAGGCTGAGGCTCCTAACAAATTACAATAGACACGACACGACACGATTCACATTCATTTTCATAATGTATAGTAAGAATATCCACTTCTTTAAGTAGAAACGAAATCAAAACTCATCGTATGTATGTAGCAATGCATGATTTGGATGAATTACTGACTCTGGCGAAAATTGAACGAAAAGCCCCCGAGGATGAAGAAGAAGAAAAAGAAGAATCAGCTGCTGCGGGCGAATCTTTAGCCCCGAAAAGATCGGAAGCAAATGACGAACCCGAACCCGAACCCGTCTGCTTCCTTCCTTCCATGACCTCTCTCTCAATCTCTCTTTCTGAAACCCTAAACCTTCAACAACTATACAGCAGCAGCAGAATTAGAATTAGTTAATAAGTATAATTATGAATGAACTAATTAGAGAAATGATAGATGATGATAAGTACACAAATGAACCAAAGAAAGCCCAGATCAATTACTGCACTCAAATCTCAAGAGAGAGAGAGAGAGTGTGTGTGTGTCGCCTCTGCCAAGACTAGCTCCAACTTTCCTCAATTCGACTTATATTACATCCGACTCCGACTCCGACTCCGACTCCGAGCCTGAGCCAGGCTATGTCTATCTATCTCTATATATAACATATGCTGGATAATTCTACGTTCTCTCTCTTTCTCTTGCTTTCTTGGATTTGATTCGTTTTCGGTTTCAGTTATCCAGACAGACAGTGCGCCGATTAGGAAAATATTTAATATTCTTTTTATTATATTCAAATTTTATCACTATATCTTTTCAGTAGATTTGAAAGAAAGAGAAGTGATTATAGTGATTTAATCGACATATTGCACATGTGTATTTAGTTGAATATAAGCCCATCTCCAACCTTGGTAAATTTGGCGTCCCTTAATTGTGAGCCATCTTTTTTTTTTTTTTTAATTTTAAATTTATTTTTTATTTTTCTAAATTTTAAAAAAAATAGAGTTACGATTGAATTAAAATTACTCTAATAACTGCATATTAAAAATTAAAATTAAATAAATAAAATTGATGAATTGAAAATGACAAACTGTGATGATTCATATATATATATATATATATAAAAGAAAGAGATTCATCGAAATTGATAATTTATGTTCAATAATAATATAAAGCTCTGGTTACCTTAGCATAATTTGATCCAATTAGTAAATATTTAAGAAGAAAGAAATATTAATATAATATATATAGCACCTTTATATAATACAATATATATTATCTCGTTCATGATTGACTAATTATTTTAAATTAATGTTCTAATTTAGTTACAATATATATATATATTATCTGCCTTAACTATTGACTAATTATTTAAAATAAATTGAAAATCTCAATATTCCCAAACTCTTTTTTACTACATTTATCAGATATTGAGTTCATTGACACAAAATTAGTGTTGATGAAACTACATGTAATCATTCCATGTTGGTATGCGAATGATTTATCCTAATTGTTATAGCATTATATTTCATTCGTACATCTTATTTATGACCATTATATTTCATTGCTTCTACTACTACTACTACTACTACTACCATCTTTGTATTGCTTATAATTTGTACTCATTCAATCAATAACAATGAATGTAGCAAGTCTCAGTCGTCTCCTGCTGCTAATTTGAGGTACAAGTTTCTGTCACAGATGGATAATGATAATAATAATTATTTCATTCGCGATTAATGATTGATTATGATGCTGCCTGCAGTTGATAAGAAAATAAACAATTTCAATTTCCATTTCCATTTTTGTGCCACTCATGATTGCTGCTCCACCACTTCGATCGATCTGATGCATCAACCAGAATTTTATTTTATTCTTTCTTTGCTTATATATATATATACATGCCTGACAAGTCAAAATTAAAAAAAAAAAAAAAAAAAAAACATTTTTACTTACTTTTTCTTTATTCATATTAAAGTATTCATTATATTTATATTTTTAAGGAAAAAAAATTCAAAATTATCTTATATATTCTAATAATTAACAAATTCTTGTTATTTTTTAATGTACTACTACTACTTAAAAAAGAATAAGTTGAGTGGATAGGAAGGGAAGGGAGTATATATTATTTAAATATTAAAAAAAAAAGAAAAAAAAAAAGAAGATAAGAATGAGCTGAAGCTGTTGTTAGTACTATTTGATTTTCATTTGTTTCTTGCAAATGGAAGAATCAAATTGCACATCAAATCAAACCAAAATAATCTTTATCATTCTATTCTAACATGCACTGCTATGGTATGTTTATCTGCTGCCTGCACTACAAAACGTGATAAGATTGTCAGACAGTTTGTCAATACAACAATGCATTATATCATGGATATAATAATAATAATACAATTTGGGATAAGATTTTTGTGAATAGTTATTTGGCAGGTAACAACAAATTGAGATAAGCTTGTAAATAGTTATTACTACTTGGGAAAAGATTCCAGTCATCATTTTTTTTATTAGAGAGAAGAATCAATCAATATTCCCAATCATCCACAAATCTTTTTAACAAACACATTGCATGGGGCATTATACTGTATATATATATATATAAAAATTATATATTTAGGTATTTATTAGTTACTATTAATTTTTATAATCAGTGTACCGTTCATACGAATAATAATAATTCACATTGTTGAAAGTCTTTTTTTTTCTTTATTCTTTTGTTTTGTTGAAAGTTGAGAATTCAGAGACAGTTGAGGACTGAGGAGGCTGGAGGCAGTTGTAGCGCAGAGCTATCAAATCACTATTATTATTATTGGCCATTATCTTCTCTAACATTATCTTGCATGTTGTATTTCTTTGAATGCTTTTATTGGAAGAGAAAAACAGAGCTTGCATGTTTTGGAGCATTATTCACTTGCATTGATTGATTGTCACACATTTGCAATCGAGATGGTTTGATGAGAATATTGAGTTGGGGGTGGCCAAAAGCATCTCCAATCCTTTCTATTCTAGCAGTGTGTATGCATGATCCAATAAATCTAGATGGATGAGGGCAATGGCAAGACTTGAGATTGATTACTACAAGACAATGAAATGAGATAACGCCTTGATAAAGGTAAGGGAGCCTAGTAACATTTATATATATTATTGATCCACAGGAACAGGATTCGCACAAAGGTGATTTTAAGATTGAGCTCAAGGATGAGGAAAGTATTGCTAATAGAGTAAGTAAGTAGTAGGTCAGGTGAGAAAACAAAATACATTTTATCCACATCCAACTTACCACAAAAAGTAGGGCATTCTCTGACTCAGACTCGTGGATAAACATAACAAGAACAGGTCCTTCATATGAAATCTGCGCCGTCATGGAAGTGATGCAGGTCCGGGTGTGTTCCTCCACCGGGCCTTTGTGGATTTCTGCACAGGAAAATACATGAATACCGTGGAATTGGGAACACAGGCGTCATTACATTTATGTTTCTCCCCGAAGATCCTATTAGCTTTACTTCCTTTTAGAGCTATTTTGCAGTCTATGAATGTAGATTGTGTGTCGCGCAGTAAGAATCAACCAGGAAGGGGAGAAATGTGGTAAAATACCTGGCAAACCGACCAGGCTCAAAACCTGGAACACCAGGCGGTCCAAATGGATCAAAGCGGGCACCAGGTGGCACACCCCTAACAAGAAAAATAATCAAGATTGAGCAAACAAGGATGTGCTTACAATACAAAAGGAGGGGGAGAGGGGACTCACGGTTGACCTCCAGGGAATACAGGCTGCCTGCCACCACCTATCCCGAACATTGGATCATGGGGACCTGCATGGAAATTATTCAAGATTTAGAATATCAGTAGTAGCATGCATATACTAGGTTCAAGAAGCTATGGGATAATAAGATACAGACCTATTAAACTGCTTCCACCACCAAGATCACCCCTGCAATAGATACATCATAAATTATAATAAACCATCCGTTACTATCACAAATGAGACAATGAAATTTGGACTGCACTGCAAATCAGCAACCATCGAGTGGAAAAACCATAACAAAAGGACAAACCTAGTAGGATACATTCCAGCACCAGGCCCAGGAAGGAGATCACTATGTCTTGGATCATAAACTGGAGGAACCATACTGCATAAAATATGAGAAAGACAATTATAAAACAAAACGAAAATTCTTTTGGGCAATTAGCACCACAACACAAGCAATGGAGGAAACCAGAAATAAAGACACCCCCACCACCCTCCCAATTAAAAAGCACCATGGACATCTTACAGAAGCAAAAGTCTCATTTCATGAAACCTTCCATAAAACTTAAGCTACAGAGTGGGGGAACACAACTAATCCTTCACATAATTCCTTACCAATGAAAAACTGTTATAATCCTTCTAATGGACACTACATCCAGCATTAAAAACAAATTAGGTCACAGTTGATCAAGGAGAATGAAAGTGTTGGACAAATAATATCCGCAAAGCTTAAAAAAGGAAGCAAGTCATCATTATGCAAGCACAATAACTTTGAAAAATAAATATAGTTCACAGAACACATTGTTGAAGTGCTTTCACGTCTATCAGTAGCTTCAATTCAGTGATTAATAAAACATTACCGAGAAAGCAAAGGAGAAACGTAAGGATCTTCTGTATTAACATCAGCAACAGGTCTATTGCCTCTATCATCTCTCAAATTAGCCTCTGAACTGCAACCAATATCAAAAGATACACTTAAATCTTGGCCACACACACACAACTATAAAAAAATTATGGTGCAAAAACAAAAACATCTAAGCAGCCACACTATTAAAGAGCTAATTTATTCTAACAAGGTATATAATGTAAGAATGAGAGACCAACATATTGACACATGTTTTTAACTATGTTTTGTCGCTGTTTTAATGGCCATGTGCTTTACTGCTCCTAAAACAGATCCTCACTGCCAACATTTCTAGTTAAATTCAGGATTATGCACCTCACAACAAACAGATAAACTTACCTTGATGGCTGAGAAGAAGAACCAGCAGATGAAATACCATCCAGTTTACCCAAAAGTTCCTTATTGATATCACCTGCCAGCTTTCCCAGGTTCTTGAATTGTGAACTGTAATTTCCACCTCCATTATCTCCTACATACTCTGCAACACTGTATACCCACATCATAAGTGTTCCTCAGTTGATCAAGACCAGGATAACACATCAAATATCAGAAAACGGGAATAAAGATGTATTCTCTTACTTGATTTCAAGATGCATAGGCTGCGATTTGTCACCTTCCTCTAAAGCATCAACAAACAATTTGTCATTCATTACAAGACACTTAACCAAAACCTTTTTGGAGCGTTTCTGAGGGCTAGAATATACAAATGCATAGCAATCTTCAACCTCATTCCAGTTGTCCAACCCCACTTCATCTGTTCAAGTTCCAAAAGCAGGAGCATAAGCAGGCATGAAATATTATTCATAAAACACGAGATTTTCATAAAAACTAGGCCCACCAAATAAACATAATCACGAAAACCCTAACTGTAGAGGTCCATGGATCTCAGTACGAACCATATATGAAAAAATGTAAAAGTAACAATAACCGCGAAATGAAAGGAAAACAACGCTCCATCTATTGAATAGATTAGTTAATCGCACAAATAAGTTTCCGAACAAGATAGTTCAACGCAACTAAATTGAGCTGAATCGTTGGTATTACCGGAAGACGAAGACGCCAGAGCATCATCGCCCGACGCAGCAGCCCCAGTCGCATTCAGCACAAAACCAGCCGATAGAAACGCCGCGTGAAGTGCGAACGCAGCCTTGTCGTATCGATTCCGGAACGACGGCCGAGCCGCCCGAATTACTGCCAACATCGATTGTTCGGTCGCCATAGACGAGATCTTCCTCAGTTCCTACTAGTTTTGCGTGCTCCCGACGCTACAAATTTCACCGTCGAAGGTCGGCGTATAATTATCAAAAATTATTTTATAAAATTAAATTAAATCAAAACTTTTAACATATTGGGCCTGGATATTATTACTGGGCCAGCCCAGTTTTACTATTTGTCTGATTTGATAATACTTGCTGAGGTCACTTTAGTTGTTTGTATACCATTACCATAATTATTACAAATTATTCTATATTAAAATTAAAATAATTAATTAATTTAATAAAATTTTTGTGTACTGAACGAATATTTTATTATTTATGTACATTACACATTTACACTACACATAAAAATCTTAGTAAATACAGAATAGAATGTGTGTATATCTTATTAGTTTCTACTAATTAAGATTTGGGAGCAATCTGGACAATATTGATTTTGGAAGTTGGAGGGGACGAGTGATCTGAAATTGTAGGAGAAACAGGCTCAGCAGCAGCTTTCCTGCTTGTGGCCCTGATGTAGCAGAAAATGGCTACTAAAAAAGTGGTGGCTAAGCCGCCGACAATCACGCCGCCGCCGGCCACCGATTTATCTATGCCGTGACGGTGGCTGTGGCTTTTTTCCGGCACTTGGACTTCTGCTCCGGGACTCTCCGCTGGGGCTGGGCCGAGTTTGCGTGCAGTGGGAATCCCTGCGGTTGGTACGGTTTCTTCTGCCATTGATAAACTTAAGCCCAAGATGAAGCAGATGCAGCAGGATGCAAGAAAAGCAGCCATATTTATGTTTCTTTTTTTTTTTTTCTTTTGAGACGTTGGATCTGTTCTGTAGAGTGTCGATGGGACAATTACTTATAGAGGGAGAGAGGTAGAGAGAGAAAAAGGGAGGATCTTGGAAAGTTCATTTTGTTGGATTTGAGGAATGAAATGAATATTTTGAAGGAGGGAAGAAAACGGGGCTGTGCTGTCTGAGCTGAGGCGATGCACGTGTAGAGGCATTATATAATGCATTTTCCAGCAGAGGGTTTGCAATTACAGCTGGATCAAGAATCCAGGGGACATGATCCAACAATAATTATATACTTTGTGTTGATTTATTTCATGATAGTTCTGCAAGAAAATAATCGAACAAACAAGAATCCATGCCCCAGGAACAGGAACAGGAACAGGAACAGGGACAAATCAGCAGGATCAATCAGACCGTATCTCTGTGTATATTATTGAAAATGTTCTGTGAGAATTAAGTAGAATATTTTTAGAAAGATTGATTGATATTATCGACTATAAACAAAATGCATGGTTGTCATGTCTGGTCTGGCCATTAGATTAAAGCAGCTTGCCCTCCCACCCTCTTACAAGATGTTTTTGATTGCCAGGAACTGTCCTGTCGCACTGTTGGACACTCACTACATTTCTCCTTCCATTTCTTTATTTCTTGCCTGCTTGATTATCAACAAGTTGGGAGAGAGAGAGAGAGAGAGAGAGAGAGAGAGAGGTCAATGGGATTAATGGGCTTTAAATTGTATTGATTTTCTTAGACCAACTTATAATGGGCCGATGGTAAGGTTTAATTAGATTGGACCGATTTCAGCCCAAAATAGGCCCAATTAGTTGTGGGCCACAAACAGGCTTCTTAAAGTCGCTGGAGCATAAGCGCGACTTTAATATATGCGCGTCAGAATATTCGATTGGAATGAACCTACTTCTAGGGTTTTGGGGGTTTAAGGTGGAGGACTGACGGACCGACTTTAGAGTAAGAATAATTCAAAGTATGAACGCGGTGATATATTGGCCGCCATTGATTTCGATTTGGATTTACTCTGTGATCCCGCGGAATTCGGGAGGTCTGGTCCATCGGTAGCTGCGTTTGAGCGGTGAAGGGGAGTTGGATTTTGATTGGCCATACTGCTGCTAGTAATTGATGGAGGCTAGAGTGGGAATGGACGGTGCGTCTGCTGCGAGGAAGTTAATTCAGCATCACCAAGCGCGGTCTCCGCCTCCATCGACGCCGCAGCAGCATCAACAACCGCAGATATCGCAGATTGGGACTGTGCCGCAACTTCTCGCCGGCGGCATTGCCGGAGCTTTTAGCAAGACTTGTACTGCACCGCTTGCCCGGCTTACCATTCTTTTTCAGGTTTCCTCTTCTCATTCTTCCCTTCCTCTCCGTCTTATCGGAGGTGGTACATATTCTAAACGCTCGACATTGGTTTGAGAAAACCTTTTTTTGGTAAAAGAACGTAATGAACATGGAAGCAATTCTTTTGCACTGATTTTTAGTTTATATTTGTAGATTTATAGTTACTCAATCATAAAACAATTTCGTACTGAATTTATTTAATGGGGATGAGTTTATTCTATTTGTATCTTGTTTTTTTTGGCTCTACATCTGAGGTCCAAACGTCACAAATAGTATCAAGAATTCAACTTTGTTGCGTATATTATATTTATGGCTGATACCTGTTTCTAATCTGGACGCCTAATTAAATGCATATTCATAAATACTCTTTGTAGATTCAAGGGATGCACACAGATGTTGCTTTGATGAGTAAGCCCTGCATATGGCATGAAGCATCGCGGATAATTAATGAAGAAGGTGTTAGAGCTTTTTGGAAAGGAAATTTGGTTACAATAGCTCATCGGCTTCCTTATTCTTCAGTCAACTTTTATGCCTACGAAAAATATAAGAGTGTGAGTCTTTTTTAAGACGTGGTATTGTTCTAGCACTGCCAAAAGATTGGTTTATTGCAATATTCATGAAGGTTTTCTCATGCATCACTGCCATTTTAACTGGAAGTTCAAATTTTTTTGCAGATACTAAAGTCAATTCCGGGTCTTGATGGACCCAGGAGCAATGCAAACACAGATGCTTTTGTGCACTTTGTAGGTGGTGGCTTGGCAGGAATAACTGCCGCTTCTACAACATATCCATTGGATCTTATCAGGACACGGCTTGCTGCACAGGTGCGAGACTAGTATTCTGTTAAAAATACATTATTGCTGAACTTAATTTAAGGGAGCTTGATGAAATTGTTTCCTTCAAGTTCCTGACAATCCCCTGACTCTATGAACAATTTAATGTAAAGAGGGATAGTTTGTGGGGCCTTTTCTTTGTCCTTTTCAATACTGAATCATCGCCTCTACATATCATGATATGTTTTTAGGTTCTGTTCTTGACATGTTTGTTTACTTGTTTATGGTGCCTTATGCTGCGATATATCCTATTTTGACATAATAGTTGTTCTTTAACCATGCAGAGGAGTGTCGCCTACTATCATGGGATAAGCCATGCTTTTACTACCATCTGCACAAATGAAGGTTTTCTTGGCTTGTACAAAGGGTTGGGGGCAACATTACTGGTATTTCTCTTTTCATTCTTATATTAAAACTTGAGAGTAGCGATCATCTGTGTTTATTTGAAGTTTTCTTTAACATCTTTCATTCCATTTTTCCCTTTGGCTGCAGGGCGTCGGACCCAGTATAGCTATAAGCTTTACGGTTTATGAGAGCCTGAGATCTTATTGGCACTCTAGAAGGTACAAAAAGATAAGTTAGTTAAATATCTGTATCATATGATCTTGGCTCTGAATAAAGTACGTGAAGATAACACTTCATCTTTCCATCAGGCCTGATGATTCCACAGTTCTGGTCAGCTTGGCATGCGGCAGTCTTTCTGGTATCGCGTCATCAACAGGTCAGTGGAATGTAATATTTTACCTGCTTGGGTATGCTTCTGAAATCACTAGGGCAGGCTCCAATGGCTCTTTCTGTTCTGCAATTTGATCCTCTTTTTATTCCTGTGGTGGTTCACTGCAGCAACATTTCCTTTGGACCTTGTTCGACGAAGAATGCAATTGGAAGGTGCTGCAGGGCGTGCCAATGTGTATGACATGGGTTTGTTTGGGACATTCAAACACATCATTCGAGCAGAAGGCTTCCGTGGTTTATATAGAGGAATCATGCCTGAATACTACAAGGTTGTTCCCGGCGTAGGAATTGCATTCATGACCTATGAAACACTTAAGAAGCTACTTTCAGAGGGGTCATTCAGTTAATCGATGAGGCAATTTTATTATGGCCATGGAAAGCATTAATGGGTTCCACTTTGGCTTAAACACACTGCAACTGGATATAGGTAGCCCGTTTCCTTTTATGCGATTTTGGGAACGTTTCTGTGGCAGAAAATTTTGTGGTTGCTGCTACATTTAGCTTGTGAGGTGCTTCAGATTTGATTGTAGGAATGTCATCAAGCTGATTGGTGTCTAATCTTTTTCACGAGAAATATCATTCTTTGAATCAAGTTCATTAGTGGAGCCTCGTTTTTGTTTTCATTTATAGTGTTGATTGTGTCCGACTTATGTTTTGGAACATTATGGTTTTTTTATAAAAATTATCTTTAATAATTTACAACATTATGTCCCACAACGAATTCTTAATTTTTTTTTTAGTAACAAATATCTTAAAAATTTACAACATATTATACAAATATCTTTATATTTATATTATATAATAAAATTATTTTAGGCATTTATATTTTATTTTTACAGAATATCGAGAGTTTGTATTTATTTTGAGAAATTACCAAAAGTTCCAAAACTGTAGACAGAGCCCGGTTTAATGCTTTTTGTTACAGCAAAATAGCTCAATCCATATCCTGAAAGAGTAAAGCTACGCATGACAAGTATCAAATTTGACACCACCAACAAAATATAATTGCTTTACAAGCTTCAATCCTTCAAATTCATGAGATAAAAGAAGAGCACAATACAAATGTCACCAAAATAAATAAATAAACAAAAGAACTTGCTTCAAGAAGCTAATAACCCGCAAACTAGGCCCGACACACAAGTTACACTAGGCTAACCATGTGTGACAGGTGACCTGAGGCACGGTCACAAATCCAACCCTACACAATCAGGCCATCCCTTATGGGACAACTTCTCCCCAACTTTCACCCTCCCATAAATATATATACAGTTTTGATAGCACATGCCAAACATTCCCATCCATTCACCACTTCAATGAGAAAGAAAATAAACAAAGGAATAAGTAATTGTTCCCAACTAATGAATTACTGTACACAATTATACAGAAAAGCCCGGGTGGGATGTCACAAAGATTCATGAAGGGCAAGGCCGATCTTCATCTGCTTTGAAAATAGCCATTATTTGAGACTGTGAAATGCTTTGTCTGTTATTCAGTATATCAATGTAGCTCTGAATACGGTACCGATCCGAGCTTGTGAGGGAAAATGGTGGATTCAGGATCAAACAAGATGCTTCCACTAGAATAAACATCAGTAAACACACTGCTTTTGAATAGCAATGCACAGCATTTTCAATCTCCCCCAAATATTCATCAACCTGTACCAGCACAGTAAAAGAGCATATGGTGAGAAATTTTGGGAATATTTACTTGTGATTTCTATCAATTTCTTTTTTTCTCTTCAACTTTTCAATCTACAAATTTCCCTTCAAAAAAAATCACAAACAAAACTAATTTTTCGTTCAAACATACATCTGACAACTATTTCATTTTAAGAACATAAAAACCCAAAAAATACAAATATATCATAAGTAAACACACCCTAAACAATCGGCTCAACATGATCTGCTTATGGAACTTAACAACTGCAAATAATAATAATAACTCACCGCTGCACGTTTGCCCAGGGCAAGGGCAGACTGATATATCAGATCCATTGCATCTGGCATCTCCATATTTCCTGTGAAGAAAACGGTATTTACAAAACTGTCAAGTTTCCATAATTTTGTAAACACATGAAGCTTTTAGCTCATGTATGTCATCAGTATGTTGTATTCCTTAAACACAGTTCTGCACAGTCTCCGTATATAAGCATATATCTAGCATATGGCACAAGACATTTACATAACTATATCATCTAGCTTTGTCTCCTTTCTATAAGTAACTTTCACATAAGAAAACTATTAATAAGTATAGCACCACCCAAAATCAATAGCATAAGATGCACAATCCAAGACAGGCATTGCCAACACGAACAAGTCACAATCAAGAAAAGTGACCTCGGAAAAAGAAGGAAAAGACCACACAGCCATACCAGGATCTATCATTTTGGAAAGTTCCTCAGCATTTCCAACTTCATGAAGAAATGTTCTCTCTATCTGTGAGATGATATCCTGCATCCCCTCAGAATTAGAAATGTCAAGACCCTCTCGCGCATCTGGGATGTGTTGAACATTAGAGGCTTCTCTCAGTTCTGAAGTCTCCTCACTTGAACTCACTTCATTCACAGATGCAGCATAAGTGTGGCAAATTTGCAATGCTTGCTTCCATAGAGCAAGAAGTACCAGCTGAATGGAAAATGCTTCTAATAGCTTTCTTCCCCGAATCTAGCAACCCACAGAATTTAGTCAGTTTACACATCATGATAGAACACAACATTTATTTGCAAATTATATATACCTGCAGACACCTTTTTCTTCAAAATTATTGTGTTCAGTGTCAGAACAAATAAGTTGCACTATAGGAAAAGATTCACAATTTCATAATTTTTAGAGCTTACAGACATATATGTCTCGATTAAGTGTCATGAGTTACCTTATCACTCACTAAATCAGTTATGGAAGATGCATAATGCTGCAATGACTTGATTCGTGTCATGCAGTCTGTTGACGGCTGGTCTAGAGTGTTAGTTATGTCCATCGATCCTTGCAAGGCGCTAGGAGTAGGGCGACTTTCTAGAATCCCAGTATTATCAACCTCACCAGTTGCTCGACCTATTGCTGGCATTTGACCCCTTGCTGAGGTCATATTTCCAGAATCAATAAGTGGACTGTCAGTTTTAGATAGAAATTGGCTTGTCTTAGAAGGGCATGCTGAAGACGATAAGTCTAGTGGAGGACCTGATACAAAGACATAATCCTGGTCGATGGACTCCAGAGAATCCACAACTGTAAAGTTGATGCAAATTAGACTACAAAAACATATATCATAAGCAACATCATAACCTGCACAATAATACTAAGAATGCAGAAGATCACCTTTTGGAAGATTATCTAGTGAACCGAGATCCATGGTTTTAAGAGATTCTTTAAGGTTTCCCTCTGAAAGTTGGTGGCTGCCAAGACTAGACCCTTCAATTTCTGTTTTATGTGTAGTAATATTATCCTTGAAGGAATCTCTTCTATTGGCAAGAGTCGATAGAGCTTTCTGCTCGGATTTTGAATCGAGAGAAAATCCATGCATGGATCTCTTGGAAGATTTACTTAGAAACAACTGGTTGCCATCAGGTCCACTAGAATCATAATCTATACTAAAAGGCAAGCAATCTTCTTGTGTAATTTCATCTGCAGTCCTCCCAGACGAAGAGAACTCATCCAATAATCTTTCTGACTGTCTATTCCTAAGCACATGACATAAGCTTAATTTGTTCAGAAATACAAAAACTTTTGTGCCGTGGATTATCTAAACACATTAATCTTGTTTACCTGGAAAACTCTGTTGGCTTCCTCCCAGAAAGAAATAGATGGTTGAAAAATTCTTCAAATGTCAAACGCTCCACTGTGGAAAGCAGGAATTCCAGGAACATAAATGAACAAAAGAAGCGCAATAAATTACACAATGGTTTGCGTAAGCACAGTGACGTTTCAGTAAGGTCATTGATGGTGAGATATAAACAAATAGGACAAGATAAATGCCTCGTGCAAGCTTGTATGTGTTACAAATTGTTGAGACGAGGTTGATTATTCTGAATCACAAGATTACTTTACCCTTAACAGACTTAATTGGTAATTGTGCTATTTACTTTATCAGATAAGGTTTCAAGAAATGATTTCCTCAATTATTATGATGTGCTCATAGATAGGTTTCCTTTTTGTACTAATTAAGACAAGAGTCATATAATTAGCCCTTCTGCATCAAATATCATTGATAAAAGGCACTAAAAAATCATTCATCTTCTTATTTGTGCTTAAACTACAAAGCAAGAGGCATATTCTATACAAAGAAACTACCTGGGTTACGCCGCAACAGTCTCCTACACAAATCTATGCATTCAGGGCTCAAACCTACGGCCTCAGGCGGGAACTGTAGCTCTCCTGATTTAATGATGTTTTGAAGCAGCTGCAAAATAAATCAATATACAGATTAACACGACTACAAAATAATCATTAGTTCAGCTGTAAGAAGCATACACTATTATTTGAGTAAGATGAAAACACCTGTATCTGATTACTTCCTGTAAAAGGCGTTCTTCCTGTGACCAGCTGGAAAAGAATGGCCCCAACGCTCCAGAGATCTGCCTGCAATATGATAAAGTAATTAGACAAAGGAGGCTGGTAAAAATGTAATGTGCATATCTCACCTTTGCATCATACTTCTGGAGCTGCATAATTTCGGGAGCCATATACAGTGGTGAACCACACAGGGTTTCAGCAAGGCCTCTAGGCTGTAGAGATCTGTAATAAAGAAATAGTTCTGAACCCATAATTTCGATCCTTATACAGCCGATCATTCTTGAGTAAATATTAGCATGATATTTGTTATTTATCAGTTCTAGTCTTCTAGACTTTCTAGGCACACTAATTTTGGGTCCCCCAACAAATTTAGTGCGCATTAACATACACCATCCATTGTGGCAAAAAATTCCCATCTTTCTTTTATGTCTTTCTCCATATCTCCAGCGTCCCTAAACCTTTGTATTTCCATTTAAAATAGTCTTCAACTATTCAAAAAGTGATTTCCTACTACCCAACCAGCAAAGACAAATAGAACTTTGTCAAGTTTTGCATGACTGATGAGCAGCACTATCAGACTTTGAGTCGACATAGAAAGCACGTGTATGTGTGCTACCACAAACCAAACAATATAAGCCAGCAAACAAATGTAAGTGTTTCAGAAAAGAGAACTGCACCTTGCAAAGCCAAAATCAGCAATCTTCAAAATGCTGCTATCTTCATTAGTGGAAAGGAGAAGATTCTGTTCCAAATTTAGACACCATACATATGGAACATGTCAATGAAGATACCAGGATATGACAGCATATCAATAAAGAGTCAATACAAGGAAGATATAGGAAGAATTAGTGAATGTGTGTATGAATGGTTGTAACATTTCACTAACGCAATGTATCTCGGAAATTTTAGTTGGATTTATCAACATTGAACATTTTATTCATTATTTCATCTAGTATTCCAACACAAAGATTATGAAACCGAAATTTCGGCTGGCTAGCAATTGACAAATGAATTGACAAACGACCACTCTTATAGAACTTGGCTGTCATTGAAAGAAGGTCAATAGCTGATACACTTACAAAACGAAAACAGTAGAATTGTAGTTTTGATTGCAAACCTGAGGCTTCAAATCACGATGTATGAGGTTGTTATCACGAAGAACTTTCAGACCCTCAGCTGAAAGAGTAATATATTATGCATCACATGATATGTTCTGTGAGTGAAACAGGAAAAAACAAGAAAATAGATACCAAGATGCTTCATAAAGTGCTTTGCTGTTGCTTCGGGGATTTTCCCCTGCCGTTGCTGAATGTACATTGAAAGGTCACCTCCCTTGCAGTACTCCAACACTATGAAAATCTTCCCAGGTTCCTAAACATATTATCATATTGGAAGAAACAAATTCATCATTCCGAAATCACTTATAGATCAAACACAGCACATCTAAATGCAGAACATAAGAAAGAATAAGTGTCACAAAATACCAATAAAACATATTATCATATCGGAAGAAAAAAATTCATCATTCCGAAATCGCTTCTAGATCAAACACAGCACATCTAAATGCAAACCATAAGAAAGCAGAAGTTTCAAAAATACCAATACACCTAGAATTTATAGAAATCTTCCGCTTCAAACTACATAATTGGCACACCCATGGAGCCCAGTAAAGGAAGCAACTAAAGGCAATTTAAAGATGCTGTATCCATGTGCAACATATGCACAATCCAGAAGCCAATCTTATAAGGTTTAAAAGCCACAACCAACAAGGCAATCATTAACTCCAGATTTCGCCACTCCAGCATAGTTAAAAGCAACAATAAATAAAGCACGCAATAAATTACCAACACCTTGACCTCGCATCTTATTTTTCCTCAATCAAAATTTCAGTATTAATAATAAATATATAAACAAAAGAAGAGAATCAAAGTAAGGACCTCGATCATGTGGTGCAAACGGATAATATTCGGGTGATTGATTCCTTTAAGGATAACTATCTCAGACTTGAGGCTTTCCTGCAACTTGGAATTCAATCGAGCGGTGATGATTTCCTTGATCGCCACTTCTGTGCCGTGGACGCGATGGCGGGCGTGCCACACTGTCGAAAACGATCCCGACCCTATCTGCCTTCCCATCACATAATCCCCGACTGTATAATATCTCCTTGACGACTGCGCCATTGCAAAACCTCGATTATCCTCCCCGAACCAGTAAAGACGAGACAGAATAAAGGGATTGAAAAGGGTTTGCTTATGGGCTTTAATAGAATAGTATACTATGGGTTCCGGGGCCTATTTCTTGCGTCCTCTTTTGGGAACTAAGCGGAGACGAAAAGGGAATCTTAATTTAGGGTTTTCTTGGAGCGAACATTGGTCACGATGATTATGGAGACGGAGAAGATATCTTCTACTGTAAAACTACAAGATTAAACTAATGGCGAGTGATTAGCATTCTCAGTTTGACGATGATGATTAAAGGAGTGTGGGTTTTTAATTTTTCCCGTCTGGCGTGCAGTGCAGCCCATCGGTGTTATTTGGTCGCGACAGCTACCATAAAAGCCAACGTTGCCAGGGGACACGCGGCGGAGCTTTATTGGCTGAGGCTACAGCCCGTTTTCTTTTTAAATGAATTATCCACATGCGAAAACCTCCCAATATTTCCGGAATAAAAAAAAAAAACTAAAAAAATGTGTATTTTATTTATTTATTTTAATTTTATATTTAATAACAATTTTATGTTTATATATAAAATATATGATATATACAATATTAAAGTAAAAATACATGATAAAGCTAAGAACTTGATATATAAATCTATTTTAATTTTCTTTAGGTATCTCTTGTTATCATCTTTCTATTTAATAATAATGGAATTAAAAATAAAAATAAAATTAATGGAATAAAGTCACTGAGTGTTATTTTTACAATACCAAACTCACTTTTATGGATGGTAATGTTTTTTTTAAACAAAGATTGATTTTAATATTTGCAACAACTAATTTTTCCTTTATTGTTGCCTTTAATATGTTGTAATCTTTTTATTTTTTTCACCTTGAAAAAAAGGAAAGAATTTTAAAGAAGTTATTTTAAAATATTCATCTCTTGGATAGTATGAATGATTTTAAGAAATATATTTATTTGATATGATAAAAATAAATAAATAAATCAACACGAATTCATTCTTTTATGTAATAAACGACAGTTATTTAGTCTTTAATTCATCTGTATATCCATTTTGAAATATTTTTTTTTGTCACTATTCATAAAGAACAATATGTAGCTATCCGCCTCTCGTAACAACTAACAAGTTGGTTTAGAGTGCAAAAAGAATAAAATTGTGCGCATACTACGTCACATTTGTCGTTGACTACTTTTATGTCCGTTTACCATCGTAGAATAAATGTATTTATTTAATTGTAATCAACATGAGAAAATAATTATACAATGGGTGTGTTTGTTTGGGAGTTTGGATTTTGAATTAGATTTGAATAGTAAAATTTTAAATTAGAATAGTTGTATGGTGTAAGGTGAATAGGAGTTGATATGATAATTTTTTTTAGTATAATATAAAAAATAAAAAATAGATGTTTGATTTGATATATGTGAGGAGAAAATTTTGGATAAATAATTGATTTTTGGCAAAATCCTACAAACAAACACATCCACCATATATGTTATCTTTTGGATGAATTACATATAAAGTTTTATTGAAAGAAATTCACCATCAATGTTGGCTTGTAAATTTATATTACATCTTTAAATTCATTATTTTGATGTTTTATTCAATTAAAAATTTCTATATATTTATATTCCCTATATCACACCTATCATTTTAAACATTCAATTCATAAAATTTTATTTTTAAAACTGTAAAGAGAGAAACTGTTATAAGCAAGGGTCCAATCATGGCAGCCCACAAACATATAATTTTCCAACCTAACAATGACAATCCATAAGCGTGTAGATCCAATCATAATACACTATTCTCACTTGGTGAAGTGAGACTATAAGAAGAACGATTACTCATATTATAATATGAACAGATATTATTGTTTGATATTTTGAATATAAAAATAAAAATAAATATTTGATTTATTATTTTTTATAAATTTTATTTTATAAAAAATAGAAATTAATCAAATCTTTCAAACAAATTGGTATTTCACACATCCAACGCCACAAAAATAGGTATTGTGCAAAAATTGAATCTGTATAAAAAAAATTGTATATAAACCTATAAAAATAGGTCCAATAAATCTGGTCACAGTTCGATTTAATTTATTAAAATTTAATACTCTTCTATGCATATTAGCCGATGAAATAATAATAAAAATCACTATATTATTTAACTGTGAAATTCTTATATTGTCTACATTAGGTCGTAAGTTCAATTCCCACGACTAGCATGTACGTTTTCACTTGTGTTTTTCAATAAGCAAATTCAACAAAAGTTATTATGATGATTTGATTCAGATGTAAGTAATCAACAAGAATTGCTAAACTCAATAATAGCATGTACGCATAGGTAATTTTATTTTTACAACAAATAACAGGTAACACAAAAATAAATAATAATAAAGCAGGATTACATTGCGATTATCGCTATAATATATAATAACAAAGACTTGGTTGCTCATTTCTTGTTGGTTAATAATTAGTGAATTATAAGAATATATCATTTGAAAATCAGAACCATTAAAATAAAGGGTGTATATCTTGTTATCGTTATTTTTAACTTGATTTTTTTCATTTTTAACTAAAATTCTCCAAAATTAAGATTTTAAATTACAGTTTTGCCCTCCAGGGCCCGACAAGCCAAACCTAATTGACGGACCGTCTTATGCGGGACTTATCATCGCCCGGCTCCATGGATCCCTCAGTAGCAACGGCTCAGATCGTCTGGAGTTCCAACTCCCGGACCCCTAATCTGTTTCCCATCATAACAAAATTTACGTGTCGACTCGACATATATGACCATACCCAAATTGACACGCATCCGGCAGATGTGGTTCGTAATTAATTATATATGCAATATTTTAAATATGTACAGTGATTAATAGCAAATAGTATTTCAATAAAAATATATTTATTAGATAGGAAAGAAAAGGATAATTAGTCAACAAGAAAAAATAATCTCCATAAAATCAATTAGATTTGGCTTACTCTATTTGACCCAAATCTAATTAATGCCACCAGAAATCCCATATGAATAAATATGTTATGACCAAAGTGCAGTCATTTCACACAAACAAATCCTCCTCAATAACAGATGCCGCCGGACTCCGCCGTCGCCAAGACCTGGAAGGGTCTCCTCCCCCCGCCGGCGAAGCCGCCGCCGTCGGCCATCAATTTCATGAGAACCTTGCTTGCAATCTGCATTTTCTTGGTGTTTTCACTCTGTTATCTCTCCATGTTCCCCACCGTCCGATTGCGCCCTAACTTCTCCGATTCCGGCCACAACCTAATCAACGTTTCGCAGGAGCGCCGGCGATTCACCGCCGGTGACGATCAGACGAATATCTCCCACATTCTCTTCGGAATCGGCGGGTCGTCCGACACCTGGGGCCGCCGCCGACATTACTGCGAGCTCTGGTGGAAGCCGAACGTGACCCGCGGCTACGTCTGGCTCGACGAGAAACCGAGCGATTCCGGCAAGGGTTGGCCGGAAACCTCGCCTCCGTACAGAATTTCCGAGGACACAACCCGGTTCAAGTACACGAACTGGATCGGGTCGAGGTCGGCCATTCGGATCGCCCGGATTGTGAAGGAGAGCTTCGAGTTAGGGTTAGAAAACGTGCGGTGGTTCGTAATGGGCGACGACGATACTGTCTTCTTCACGGAGAATTTAGTGAATGTGCTGAACAGATACGACCACAACCAGATGTATTACATCGGCGCCGTGTCGGAGAGCGTCGATCAAGCGCTGGTCCATTCCTACACCATGGGTTACGGCGGCGCCGGATTCGCCATCAGCTACCCCTTGGCGGCGGAGCTCGTCACCCTCCTCGACGGCTGCATTGACCGCTACGCCGCCGCGTACGGTTCCGATCACAAAATTGGGAGCTGTATGAGCGAGATCGGCGTGCCACTTACCAAAGAATTAGGTTTTCACCAGGTAGTTTATCTTAATCCTTGTGTAATTGCACCATCAATCTTCATAATCACCGTCGCTGCATTTAAATTTACCTACCGAATTATTGAATTATTGATTCGTGTCGAGGCAGAAGTAATTGCAGATTGGGGGTTTACTTACCTGACCTAATTTTGTTGACTCCATTAATGGCGGTTGCCGGTTGGTGTTTCTGGAACATGGACAGATGGACATACGTGGAAGCGCATTCGGATTGCTCTCGGCGCATCCATTGGCGCCGCTGGTGTCAATGCACCACCTCGATTACGTCCAGCCACTGTTCCCAGGTCGGAACAGGGTGAACTCCATGAAAAAGCTCTTCCAGGCTTACGGACGTGATCCTAGCCGGACATTGCAGCAAAGCTTTTTCTACGACCCGACGAGGAACTGGTCGGTTTCAATTGCCTGGGGCTACAACGTGCAGCTCTACCCGTTCCCGATGACGGCCCGGGACCTCAGGACCCCGCTGCAGACGTTTCTGACGTGGTCCTGGAACCGGAAGGCCTTCACCTTCAACACGAGGTCCACCAGCATGAAGCCCTGCCTGAGGCCAATTATTTTTTATCTTGATCGGGTCGAGAAGACGGAGAATGGAGACACCATGACGACGTACACCAGGCCACGCCTCGATATCCGGCGGCGCTGCGACCGGGATAATTTCGCGGCGGCGCATTCGGTGGTAGGATTTAACGTGACGGCGCCGGTGCTTGATCCTCTGGTTTTTCACAAGGTATGAGTGACGGAGTCTGTTGTCGAATCTCCACCGTTGGCTGAATGTTGGGATATGAATGGTGTAGATTGTCACACGTGTCCTTTTTTATTATTATTATTACTCCAAATTTATTGCTTGACTAATTTAATTTTGGAATATGAGCAGGCGCCACGTCGACAATGCGCTGAGTTGCTCAACGGTCCAGATGAAGCCGCCGGCTTGGTACATATTCGACTAAGAGGCTGCAAGCCGAGGGAATCGGTAACACTCCCGTAAGTCACGGCTCGAGAAACGGCTGGAGACTGTTTGGTAAACCTGAAACCAGTAGATACGCTGCTACGCATATTTTGGTAGTAAATTCGGGATTTTTTTTAGTTCCCAAACACCATATATAAATCATACTTACTCTCCGGTTGAGATGTTATTAATATATATTTTTTAAAAAGTCATTTTTATTAGGCGACCAAATAAGTGGAAAGCATTTCAAATATAATAATAAATTGATTGATTATAATTAAATATATTTCCATCTTGTAAAATCTTATAAAACAATTGATGCACAATCAAGTTATTCGGATTAAATAAAATACTAAATGTGTATGAAATTATAGCATTTTATATTCAGAATGAAAGTTAATGGGAAATACAATTTGCATGTTAATTCATGGAAACCAAGTATGTTGGGCTGATCTAATTTCAGTTATTGAAAAACACACATTCCGATTTACTTTTGTTTAGATCCTCTGAGAGCCTACGAAATAACTCAGGGTGTTTGATTTATAGAACACAAGCCTAAAAATTTTGTCTCAATTCATTAACTTTTTTGTTTTGGCAAGAAATTCCGAATAGATCGCCGGCACTCACAACCGTATCTAGATAAAATAAGAGTTTCACCCTCAAATCATTCATTAATACTTTATTATTAATTATTAGTTAATATATATATGAAGAGATATTAATTTTGATATGATAGACTGGGTCAGGCATGACATAATTACTCCTAATAGATTAGGTACCAAGGTTTACATATTGTATAATTAGTGATTAATTAACAAGTGTATTAGTAAAAATAAATATGATTTAATAAAAAAAAGCTTAAATTAAGATTAAAATAATTAAAATTTTAATTAAATAAAAAAATTTATAAATTATGAACTTTAAAATATATAATTGTATTTAAAAAAAATACAAATTATATTGAACGGAAATAAAAAGAGTAAACAAATTAAATGGAATAAACAGAGTAATATATTTGATGGGCTAAGCTCACCTGCTCAAGATTAGACTGGGTTTTAAAAATGTGAACACGCCTTAAATTCGTAATGAGAATATAACAGAGTTTGTTTAGAGCGATGCAGCCCATTTCCCGGTACAAGTTCTACTAATGGTTAACGATAAGTAAAAATTTAACCAGCCCATATATATCATACTTGGTTTTCTAATGCATTTCATTATTCATAAAATATTTTTAGGTTTGAATTTGATGTGCTTGAGGAGAAGAAAAATACTAATATTATTTTGGTTTTATTATATTGGGAGGCCATGGCCATGTGGCTCGCTGTATGTATGTATGTATGTATTATTGTAGAGAGAGAGAGAGAAAGTCAAGAGTAGTGAAGAATTAGGAAGCAAATTTTGGTACTCCTTTAATTCTTTTATTTCTAATGTTATCATTGGAATCCGCAGTTACTCTCAAAGCGAGTGTGTGTAATTCAACCAAACATGATTTTAAGGTACTGAAATCTAAACTCATGCATTCATAATTATAACTTCATCCTACATTGCCCACCTAAATAAATTTTCGATTTGACGAAATAAATTACGCTAGACAAAATACTTTTATTTAGTGTCTTATAATATTATTATATATTTTTAATATTAAATAAGTATAATTATTGTTAAATAAATAAGACCGAATATATAATAAACAAAAGATGAAAGTGTTTTAGAAGTTTAAACTTAGAGTTGAGCTTGTACTTTGAGGTCATTTCTTACTGACTTATTCCTTCTTCTTTTTCTTGCGGACGTGACATATGGGGTTTGGTTAAGCACGTTGCAGCAGTTTCTTGAAAATTTCACCATACGCACATTCAGTCACAGTCACAGTCACACTAACCATTAATCGGTTGTTTGTATGCTTATACTTTTAACCAGTCATAATAATCACAAACTGTGGTCTATGGAGTATTCATTACTGCGCCAAACTCCGAGGCCAGCCTTTCAAACATTATTCTATTCACCTATTTAATTATATGTATCTCTATATAAAGTTTTGATGATGCTATTATTATTCTATTGACTATTTATAAAAATAAAATATGTTACTACTTTTATTTATTACTATCATAGATATACTATATTTAATAATGATTTTCTTTTTATATATGAAAAAGATAGCAGCTGACTTTCTATCACATAATTCCAGCCAGATGTCTCACATTCATTCATTCATACTACTCAAATAGGTATATATTATAATCCATCTTGGATCGGATCTACTTAATTAATTGCAAACAAATAAATAAATTTGTATATACAGAGTATTATTATTATTAATTATTTATTTATTTAATCATCATTGTACAAGGTCGGCATTTCGTCGCATTCTCACTAAAACAGTCAGTCATCTCCATTAATTACAACCCTTTTCCCACCTCCACCTCCACCTCCCCAGTCAGATTCTTTCTTCTCCTCTTTCCTACCTGTAAGAAAAAAAAATCAAAAAAATCAAAACCTACGAACATGTCAACACATTCCCATATTCCAATCCCCAAACCGCGTCGACCCTGATCAATCATCTATAATCAATTACTATATGGGATCGATTCGATTCCGATTCCCATCCTCCTCGTCTTCTTCTTCATTGCATTATTAAGCATTACCTCCTCCTCTTCCTCCTCTGTCAGAATTATACCTGCAGTAGTTGCAGACGCACCGCCATGGTTGCACTGATCAAGAACAAGCTCCGCCCCCCACACCCCGACAACCTCAAAGATTCCCAATTTGGGATTCTCGCTTTCGAAACCGCCAAAACCATGTCCAGATTGATCTCTCTCTACAAATCCCTCTCCGACCCCCAAATCTCCACGCTCACCAACCACCTCCTCACCTCCAAAGGCCTCGCCTTCCTCAATTCCTCCGACCACCACTTCCTCCTCACCCTCGCCTGGGCCGAACGCCTCGAAGATCTCGACTCCGCCGCCGCCGCCGTCGCCAGAATCGCCAAGAGATGCAACGACTTCGCCCTCAGCCGCTTCGACGTTTTCTACCGGGATTTGAAATTAGGGTTTCTGCGTTTCCGGAAACTGCATTATGGATCCAAAGCAGCCGATAAGAAGATCAGGAAAATGGAGAAATTGGTCGAAACGACGTCGTCTTTGCACTCGGCTCTGGAGACTCTGACGGAGATGGAGATTTCTGAGAGGAAGTTGAACCAGTGGAAGAAGACGACGACCAGACCGACGGAGACTGTGCAGAACGAAAGCATCCTTCTTTTTTACCAGAAATTGCAGAATCAGCGCCGGCAAGTTCGACATTTCCGGGAGATCTCGCTTTGGTCAAAATCTTTTGATAAAATCGTTGATATGATGGCAAGGATTGTCTGCGTTGTGTACTCGAGGATCTCCATGGTTTCCGGCCATGGAAGGAAGCTCTCAATTTCTGAACCTGTTAGGGAAAATCTCGTCCCTCATTCGGGCCCGATTATGCCGACTTCGAAGAGGACCATCGTGCGGTTTTACAGCCGGCGCGTGGACGAGCCGAGGGCTGTAGCGGCGCCGGCGACCAATAAGGTGTTCCACTCCGCCGGAGAATGTACGGTCGGCGGATCGGGATTGGCGCTGCGTTACGCCAACGTGATCCTTTTAGCGGAGGAGTATTTGAATTCCACGGCGGCGATAAGCCACGACGATCGGGAATCGTTGTACCAGATGCTGCCGGAGAATCTGAAGACGGTGGTTGGGGCGAAGCTGAGCAGGAACATGAGGCACGCCGGCGCCGGCGCCGACTTGTCGCTGGCGGAGGGGTGGAGGGACGCTATGGTGGAGATGATGACGTGGCTGGCGCCGGTGGCGCGTGACACGGTGGCGTGGCAGATGGAGAGGAACGTGGAGAAGATGAAGATGGGGGCGAGGACGAGTGAGAGTGATAATGGGAATGAGAAACCCTCGGTGCTTCTGGTGCAGACTCTGCACTTTGCCGATAAGGAGAAGACGGAGGCCGCCATTGCCGAGGTGCTCGTCGGACTCAGCTGCATTTTCAGATTCGAGAATCGCCGGCCGATTTAGGGACAACTAAGCTTAATTAGGGATTTCAGAATTTCGGTTGTGTTGGCTTAGTTAGGTTGATTCATTCTTTCTTCTTTCAATTGTTTTGTCATCATTTTTCTTGTTCACGAAATTGATTGATCAATCGAGGCCCTTTATTGCCTTAGAATTGTTGTATTTTAGCACCACATATATAATTGAATTTTTATAATGTTAGAAAAATGCTGGCCTCATTCATTTGGAGATAAGGTTGGACAAAAGCAGCAATTTGCTCTATTCTGCTAACTCCTTGGCTATGGCTACTTCACAACTATTCTCATCTCTATTCCTAACGGCAACGATCACCTCCCCCACCCGCCTGTGCCACCACCACCGCCACCGCCGCCTGCCGAAATTCAGAATCAACGCGGCCAAGATTCCGGCCGGCGTATGTTATACCAGAAGTAGTAGTCTATATATATATAATGGTTGAATTGAACTCTATTGAGAATGGATGGATCTGATGCAGGTGGAATTGCCCAAGGAGCTGCCGAAGCTCCAGCCGCCGGTGGCGGGCTTCACCAGAACGGCGGAAGTTTGGAATTCCAGGGCCTGTATGATCGGCATAATCAGCGTTTTCATTCTTGAATTGGTAAGTCTTAATTGTCGATTTCTTCCTTCATTTTTTATCCTGAGAAAAAACCTCTTAATCCATTCAGATTCTGAACAAGGGATTGCTCGAAATCTTCGGGTTGGAGATCGGGAAAGGCCTCGATCTTCCTCTCTGAAATCCCACAGGCTATTTATGTATGTATATGATATCCAATCAAGTGTAGTTTGTGCACTTAATGTAAACTCATGAGCTGATGGAGTCGAACAAGATTCAAGCATGAATAGAAGGAAAAACTTTTGGAAACCATACCATGCTATATATGTATCGAAATTCGAAATAAGTATAGTTAACTGTATCGAATGAATGACAACAACAACCAACAATACTCTACTGACATTCATACAACTAGACTTACCTCTCATCCCTCTTGAATGGGCGGTCGCTCTACTGCGAAGGTCCCGGCCCTAACAGCAATGGAGGCTCATTATCTCTCTGGCTTGGGGTTGTGTCTGGATTCCGATTTGCAGCCCATGCTCTAAGTGGTGGTTGAAAATGCTGGCTGGCAATGTCCGGCGGGGTTGCATCCTCTCCTGGAAGAAAAAGTAGCCCCATTTCGTGAAGTGGAGATGGTTCGTTAAAGCAGGTGTACCAGATTGAGTCGACAAGATGCCTTTCCTCCCTAACAGTGTCGAGGTCTTCAGCAGACATTTCATTGATCCCTTTAATTCTGTCTTGTAAAATTTGTTTCAGCTTATCCTTTTCTTCGCTTGTTCCACCATCTGGATTGTCCAACCGGTCGCGAGCAAGCTCGAGAAGTCCAGTAAGTGATGCTTCACGGACCTCAACATCCCCGCTTGATGCAAGGTGCATCAAAATGCGAGGGAATCCAAGCTCAGACACGATGCAACAGTCGGCCCGATTCTCATGCAATAAATAGTGGGTTAGATTGAGAGCTTTCCTGCAGTTCATGCATTTAAGATTGAAAATTATAAATACAAAATTAAAATAAATAGAAACAGGATACACATTGTGCATGGTCACAGCAAAAAACTTCCAAATTAAGGATCAAGAATGTTCTAATTCAATTTCTTATAGTTTGTAAGCATCATCTGTGGGAAAAAAGCTATGGCATTGCCCGTAATTTATATTTAATTTGGAAATCATATTCCAACCGGATAATAGAATTCATTTGGAAATCATATTCCAACCGGATAATAGAATTCAAGTAGCTTGATCGTATATATAGCACGGAAATCAATGTCACAATCCTGAGAAAAATACTGCAATTCTTGTGACAATAGCAATTACCTTTGAAATCTCAAATTCTCAGAACTCAAAGCATCTCGCAGAGCTGCATATCCATTAGCCAGACGGAAAGCAGCAATGCCAGGCTTATTATGCCTGATTAGAGCTGTTTAAAACAAAAAAAAAAAAAACATTAAATGTAGGATGATAACTAGAAACGAGATCAAGGAAAGGGGAAACTACTTGCATTTCCCCGGATGCTTGCTTACATGAGATTGCACCGAGTGATTTGGTACGAACTACAACATCAGAATCTGAAGCAAAATTTGCAAGAAGAGGCTCAAGGCCATTAGCTTCCATGACCAACTGCTGGCTCCTTGGGTTATTCTGGACTATAGTGCTAACAACTTCAGCTGCCTTTGCTCGGATGTTAGCATGAGAACTTTTCAGATGCCCAAGAAGAGGAATCAAGCCACCAATTGAATAAAGATCTGCTCGTGTGTATACATATATATTATTTGATTAGTAGAAAGAAACAGAGTGAAAGAATCAAAATCCAACACACATTCATCATATGACACTCAATACATGTTTGGACTTAGAATTTTTTCCTTATGTCGAAGAAACTAGGTATCATCAAAACACAAAATCGATTAAGAAGACTTGAGGATAGTTTTCTAGTAAAACACTATTGAAAGATGAAAGACAATCTTGATTAGTAGTCAACAATATAAACATAAATTTGCACGCCATGTGCCAATACTTGGATGGAGTCACTGAAAATAGAGAATCTATGTGCTCTACAAACACAAAGTCTTATAAATACGCCACAATTTGGATGAATACCAGCGGAAAACTGGTACTTCGGACCCGCCTTGTATATTGAGAACAAAAGGACAAAATGCAAAATGTAAAGGACCCTATCAGAAAGTCGTGATCTATAACTACCATGATTCTCCTGCCTACACTATATAATAAAACAAGCTCAGTATAAGAACAAGTATGACAGAACAGAACCCCCAACATGATTAATAGTAGCAACTTATCTATGTAGGAGAAAAAGGCTTCATTATCCTTAGCTAAATTCTAATTTCTAACCATCCAATGTTGCATTGATAATGAAAGAATTTAGAATTGATCACAAACAAACTCACCATTGGCCATGTCGATAGACTCCACATGCTCTTGTAGCTCATCCAACATCCCTGAAAGCAAGCCAAGAATTAGAAAATTCAACATCCACACATTGAACGAAAAATCAAATTAAACAAAATAAAACACCTATAAAATTGCAAATTCGAGAGGCTCATTACTAAACACCTTCAATATCTTGAGGTGTAACACCCTGAGACTCCAAAACCTGCACCGGCGTCTGCATAACCAGGGTTATCTCTTTCATTCGTTGAATTACATCAACTGAGTTTGCCTGCATTGCCTCCACAAACCATCTTCTATCCTCCTCGCTGAAACCAAACAATAATTAACAACCTGTAATGATTCCCATCTTCCAACACACACCCACGCTCACCGTATAAACAATTTCATATACTCAGATTTTACAACCAGCAGCATCATGACCTTTTCCAACACTCGACATCAAAATGTTCGAATTAAAAAAAAAAAAAAAAACCCACGAGAAATTTCAACGTACCTCAAATTACGAGAGGAATTAGTGCCATCAGAGTGCGAGAGACTCCACTTAAGCAAGCCGTCCCAATTAGGACCTTCCTTCGCCATTTCTCAATCAATCAAGCACCTGCAAAGATTGATATCGCAAAAATGATACGATTTCTTGCTTCGCACAGATTACACACCGATTTTCATAAGGCCCGCCCTCAAATTTTCACACAAATCACACAAGACTCCTTAAGAGGGTTCTTGATTCACACTTGCTGACATTTCAATCATCGACCTATGGCTCCAGATATTTTGTTGAACTCAAAAGCAAAGTCGTTTTACGCATAACCCGTAGAAATTGGGTGTTCCGTTTGATTTTTTTCTTATTGGGCCTTTTTTCCAGAACAAACACATGGGGGCATGTTTTTATTATGTGGTAGAAAGCCCAATTTATATATTTTACAAATACCCGAGGGTGCCAGTCCTGACCGACTCTGACCCGGGCCCAGATCATATTTACCCTGCCTTGGATCCGGTACGGGTCGGGCCGGGTTTATTGGTAGGACTATCTTAATCTACGTCGTCGTCTTCGTTTGAATTGCCCTTTTTGTTCAATCTGTGTCTTAATTGAATTTGACTCCTAACTGCCATTCCTCAATCTTTCAATTTACATTGTTCAAACTTGTAGATGAAGTTTTCATCTTAATTTTATTGCGTAGAAATTAACCAACCTCAATTTGCCAGAAGCACTCCAAAAGCTCTCTTTCATGGCCACTTTCACCGCGTCGAATCCGTTACTGTAAGTGTAAGACTGCATGAACAGAATCTATAGCTCGTAACTTTCATTGCCTAATTCATTCAAGCATGTCATGAAACAGTGAAAGCATTCGCAGTAGCAGAGAGTCTAAGAGCTGTGGCTACCAAAGCTGCTGCAGGCGCCTCCGATCGAGATTCATATTCTATGAAATACACTGGGAAAGTTGTGGCAGCGACCGACAATGGCCGCGTCTCAGCAATAGAAGTATCCGTTTGTCGTCCCGCCCTTGCCTACGATGTTCGCGGTTATCCTCTCCCCGCAGCGACCTTATCGGCAAAGCAACGAATATCCTCCAGTCAAAAGCGGCCGCATCATCGCCGGATCCCTCCGCCGATCTCTCCGAGTTCTTCCAGTCGCTGACCGTTGCACCTACTTCAACATAAGTTTCTGAAATTCTCAAACCCCTAAAGTCCATAGCTCTAGCCCTTGAGTTTTTCCACTACTGTCCTTCCACAATCCCCAACTTCCGGCACGATGCTTTTACTTATAACCGCATTTTGTTTATCCTCTCAAACTCGTCGCTTCCTGACAGAATTGATAAGATTACTGAAACCATCAGTCTAATGGAGAAATCAGGGGCCACTGGAAACATCTCCACTGTTAATCTACTGATTGGTGCTTTTGATGGAGTTGATGGCCTTATTTGAGAGCCAACGAGTTGGATAGATCTATAGAGAAATCAGCAGGAAAGGATACAAGTTGGATAGCTTCAGCTACAATATGCTTCTGCATGCGCTTGCTAAGGACGAAAAGGTCTGCATATACACTTAATCATGAATTTCCTGTTTCAGTTTTGTGTTTTACAGCTCATGCAGATTTTATGCATCAGTGTGGCATTGCAGATGAAGTTTTATAGGGTCAATTAAGTGCTCCATTGATTTTCTGTTAAATTTTGTCAATGTAGATATCTGTGGATTAATTCTTGGATCAACTGAGTTTGTGTTAAATTTTGTCACTAAAGTGCTCCATTGATTTGCTGTTAAATTTTGTCAATGTAGATATGGGAAAACAATTCTTGATCAACTGTATATGGTGTCTGGTGCATGTGTTTTTCTGGAACTTACATTCAACGCACCTTTGATCTTTTCTGCATTTAAATTTGGTTCTGAACTCCTTTTTCTAAGGTGACAGTTTGTGTGAATTTAGGGTTGTATATATATTGTTTCTGAAAAAAAATAAATTACAAGTTCTAGTATGTATACACACACATAAACATTAACTGTAGTTGGAGATACGTGTATTTGTGCCATGTATGACTAAATTACATATACCCTGTCAAGACTACTATATCTCAGTATAGCAAAACACTCTTAGGGAAGTGAAGAGCAAACACTAAAATAAATGGCAGATGAAAGTCTCAGGCTTAGGATGTCTGTAGGTCATCATACTGCCAGGGATTAAACTCTTTAGAATTGGTTTCAGTTTCTCCATTGCTGTCGTCGTCGTCAACGGCTGCTCGGTGCTGTGTGTATCTTCCGTTGTAGTTATACACTTCCAAGTCACCCCAAGGCGTGGAAGCAACTTCTTCTGTTAGATCGAACCACTTGGGCTTAAACTGGTCGCCTTTCATCTCCCTTGTTCTCTTTTCTACTCGTTGTCTTTCCTCGAGCCTGGGAATCAAACAAGAAAATATAAGTTTCAAACTACATAGAAATGAAACCATTCTTTTCTATTATCATCTCCAGCAGTTACTATGACCATTCTTTCAATCTGTCAAAGTTTGTTCAGAAATCAAACAAACCTGGATTTTTCCAGCCCGGCTTTGGAGAGGTCACCGTTCTCAAGCGCCAAACGGTCTGATCTCAAACGAGAATCAGATGGCAGAAGAGCCTTCGGTGCAGTGTCAAAACTGTTTATCTTGTGCGCAAAATACGTATACTGAAATTTATCATTCTTGGGAGCATCTGCCACTCTCCATACCTACATATATTTTTCACAGTTAGTGTTGGTTGAGAGACCCCAGAAAGACAATAAACATAGAATGTTGAAGCAAAAACTTGATTCGAAAATAGTATCCAAAACTTTATTCACTGCTGACCTCTTTTAGTTCAGTGCTGGGCAGTGGTTCTCCTTCAGAATCACAGGGCTGATAGCTCATAAACTCATTCCACTTCCCCGTCATTAAAATTTCAGGTTCTTCTTGAGCATTGTACACATAGCCATCCACTTCATATCGGCCGGCACTGGACAAGCAGTCAAGCATAAATACTAAACATCAAGGTTGTAGAAAGGCATGGGTTTTATGATTAGGTCTCAAACTCAAAATCCTTTTAATGTAGAAGTATTTACAAAAGAGGTCTGAGAAAAGGATATGAAAATATAGGGAAAGAACCATACCCGAACCATCCACATGGTTTGAAATACAAGACAACCTTGTCTCCTGTGGTGAGGTTTGTCAAGATCATGTCACCAGGTGAATCAACCCAAGTTCGTCCAAAGATTATATTGTTAGCTTTTGAGGGAGGAGGAACCAAATCTAGAACCACGCCAGCTCGTTTGAGACTAAGCCGTGTCCTGAACAGTATATAGAATAAGTCATATGGCTTTAATAAAAAAGTCACCATACAGAGATAAATCCTACATCAACATGTGCTTTCATGTTTGTAAATATTTGGACCATGGAATTATTTGAAATAGCTTTGAAAAGATAAGATATGATAAACATGTACCTTCCTACAGGGTATATATCAACTGAGTTCCCAAGAAATTTGGTCTTCAACTTTGAAGTAATGTCATATACAAAATGCTCATTTTCTGCATGTGCTGCACTCATCGGAGGGTGATGACTTACCTGATACAAAATAATTTATCAAAAACTTGTAGAAGTTTGTACTACGCATTTAGAGGGTAAAAAGCATCATGTCCTGAATATAACAACAAAGATAACATGACACTCCTCAGTATTAAGCTCATTCGGAATGACATAAAATCTCAATAAGGTTCCTTATTGATCACCTGTTCTGCAATAAATGTAATACCGCCATGGTTGACCATTTCATATGTTTCACCAAGAATAGGATTGAATGGCTTCCATGTCCTTTCGAGGGCAAAATACACAGATACAAACCAAGAAGCTGCAAGAAATGAAATGTTAATCAGAAATTGTTTATTTAAGGATTAGGAATTATTCAGGAAGCAAAAGAAATGCGTAAAAATTACCTGCATACACTAATCTCATGTGAGGATCCTCACATTCATCTGCTAAGTCCAATAGGTATGAGTATTCCATTAACTGCAAATAATTCGACCTCAATTTTATTCATGGGCTTCACACACCATAGAAAAGGGTCAGGTTAAGAACTAAGAATACACAAACCTCTGCCATTTTTTGAAGCATCGTCATGGGCTCAAAGATGAGAACAGGTAGAGTTACCATTGATGTGATATCAGAGCCAATGTACTTTTGCATAATTCTCCAGTAACTATCGCGATCCTGAAAAATAGACACCAGCTGAATGAATGGCAAGTATGAACTATGAATGAAACTAATAGGATAAAGCACATAGTTTTCACTTTTATGCAGGATGTGCCATCACACATCCCCCCAAATAGGTAAAGAGTATTCAATTCTTAGCATGCAATCAAAATTTTTAGCATGATGTCGTGTTTATTCGGGATCGAAATGAAAGCTTAGTTATAGGAAGAACAAGATGTGACCAATTCCTTAACAGGTGCATGATCAGCCTATGATTGATAAGGTAAACACAAAGTGCTGCGTAAGCTAAATCAAATTGAATTTCAGTTAATATATATTGCTCTACGAGATACAGCCACAAGCTAATCAAAGATTAGTAACATCTTCACGTACTGACTAGCAAGCAATGACAAAAAAGAAGTTAAGGAAGGAGACAGATGAATAGCAACAATACCTCCTGCTTCCATCTTCCTTTGTGAGCTTCAACCTCAGCATCATCTGTACCTCCATCAGGATTTATCACTTCAAGCCCTTCATAACCTATCAAACTAGAAGAAAGAAAAATTCATGAGAACAATACAAGTAAAACCGAAAAGAAAGCTTAAACAAAACAAGAACTGATCTTAGTTCTTCCAACATAGGAGATACCTAGTAACGGATTTGGACATGGCGCTGCTAAAAGTGGAAAGAGTAGAAGCAATGGAGGCGAAAAACCCGGTCCCCTGCGTCTGATCGCTGATCGGAGCCATGTTACTGGTTGCAAAACCCTAAAACGAACCCCTACTCTGCAAAGAGAAATAAAACGTATCGATATATCAAATTCCGGTACGCAGAAATCTTCGAAGGCAAGTATTTGAGGTTATGGCGGGTCGCTGCTCTTGAAAGTCAATATACGACGTCATAATGGATTCGATACTTCTCGCTTTCTCTGCCTACGTATACGCGCTTAACGAAACAGTCAACAATGGCGGTTGGTTGAAGACGTACGGTACGACCTTCCGGTCTCCTTCAACCTTCATTTCCTCAGCCACTTTCTGAGGTGGCGTCGATTTTTGGGCCCATTGTGATTATTTGAGCCCATATATTAAAATTGGGTCTAAGAGCTTACCCAATTATCGTGGGCTATTGAGCCCAACACTTTAATTAATTTATTGTTAATAAGAGTATATGGATTTTTTTTTTCAAAATTTTACTTTTAAATAAGTATAATATTAGAAACATTTTTCTTTGTCATACATTTGTGTTTACCCAACAAAATACTAGACAAAGCTTTTATTAATATTATTAAAATATATATAATGCGTATAAACTCATAAATTATATATAATAGTCACTCCCTCCCCTTTAACATATCCATTTTTTTATTTTTTTTGTCTCATTTTTTTTTATATAAATTATACATTTTAATCTCATTTTAAATTTTTAAATTTATAATTTTTTATATTAATTTTAATCTAAAATTATTTTTATTATACATTAATTATTTTTACTAATACTATATTTTTAACTATTTACTAATTGTACTCATCCTAAATTCTCGTGTCTACGGTAAAAATAACACGGTAGGTGGGACGGAGTAAATATATAAGATTTGTTTGGGTTTTATCTGAATTTAAAGTTTAAATAATATTTTTAATATGATATTATATGAGAAAAAATGATACTCCATCCATCCCCACAAAACAATGTTACAATTTCCTAATTTAGTAATTGTACTACCTACTTAACATAATAAATATTTTTCAAATTTACACTATATTACACAAATGCCATTATTTTTATATTATACAATACTAATATGGGTTTTTTCGTCTTTTTCACAATAATCCATTATAATACTAATATATAAAAATCTACGTGCAAAAGTAAACGGTAACCTTGCATTGTGACGAATGGGGTATATTTTTATTAAAAATTGTACGAATTGAATAGGATTAATTTATATTTGAAACATAAACTAAATGCACCCATATACTCTACATACTTACCGAATTATTTTTAAAAATAAAAAATAATAATAATAATAATAATAATAACATAAAATATTATATTATTAATGTATTTTAGAACCTAAAATTTGTAGATAATAGATAATTAATAAATACAATTAATAGTCTCGTTTTATTACATTGAGATTCAAGTGTGATTAAAATATGAATTTATAATAAATATAATAGGATGAATGAAAAATAACTGAAGGATAAAAGGTTCTAACATTTTGCAAACATATTAACTAAAAGTAAGAACAAAAAAAAATACTAAAAATGGTCAAGAAAAGTAGCGAAGTGGGTGCAAAGGAAAAGATGGGAAGGGAGAGGCGATGCAGCAATAAATGAAAGTCCAACAAGAAGTATTTATGAAGAAGGAATGCAATAAATGCGAGGGGAAGAGTAATGGCGTAAAGGCTATGCCACAAAGCAATTAATAAAATAATTAATAAATGATTTAATGCAGTAGACAACAAGACATGTGTAGTGTAAGTGTAGCTGCCCGAGCACAGCACAGCCGCCGGGTGGGTGGATGGATGGATGGATGGATAATCGTACACCGAATAAATATATACACGGTTCATCTAACTGTAGTGCCTGTGAGTTTGGTCCGCCGTGAGTTCTTTTATTAATATTTTGATTTCTTATTGTATTATTCATTATTTTAAGTACTATTTATATATATCAAGTTAAATATTATTCTTATTCAAAATATGATTTTTAAAAGAACAGACCTTGGCTATTGCAATTCTTTTTTTTCTTTTTTTATTTTTATTTTTTATAACATGGATTTGCAGGTGACCTGGAGGCATCAGAGTTTTAACCGACGACTTTACAATCACAAGTTCACTATCTACAGTACCAGGTCATCACAATTCTTTTTAGTATCAAATGAAACATAACTAAACCTCTTAACATTTTAATTGTAATTTATTATTATTATTCAATTTTCTTGAAATTAAACCTACCAAAAAAATTTTAAAATACCACAAATAAGTTACGAAACCAATCTATTAGCTTGCATTATGATTTTATTTAATTTTTTTCTTTCAAAAGGTCATGTATATTGAAACGGTTCCATAACAAAATATACTTAATTTTGAAATGAATATTAATAAACTGAAAGAAATAAAAATATTTTTGATTTAATGAAATTTTAATTTAAGTTATCCTAATTGTTGCCTCGAGAAGGTCATTTTCATTGCTTGTGTCCTTCATGATAACAATGCCCACAAAATGTATAAAATCCATCTCTAACAAAATATGGGCCAATACACATCCATGTGAATGTGTATTTTCAAGATCAGGAATATAATATATTCATAATCAGTTTTGTCAGTGATAATTACCAATCAAATTATTCTCAATAAATGAAATGCATTCTAAGAATCAAATAATTGGTCAACTAGAAATTTCAAGTGTGGCCTTGTTTATATCATTCTTTGTAAACGATACATATAAAATTTATTTATATTTATATAAAAATATTTTTAAAATTTATAACGCCCAAAAATGCCAGAATAAAAATGTACACGTGCTATATGTGTGGTCATTAGCAATAAAATTTGTGGCAAAAGTTGAGGGTCGTTAAAGTAAGAGTATTTATCTGAAAGTCAAACTGTACGTATTATACAATTGTTTGCATAAATTAGAATAACAATAATCATAATTAAATTTAAATCGCAGCAGAGATTCTTTGTTGTACGGAAACATAAGGAATCTTTGTACAGAAATGTTATCAGTTAAATTAATTGATTAATTACCTCGGCTCTAACCATTGGACAAAAAACAAGTCTGCTTATCTACATTTAATAAAAATAAATTTCTGTGGACACGTGGCGCGCATCTGATGGCTGAATAGCCGCAGCCGGCCTATGAGGTGGCCAACGGTTTTACCACCCAAACATTTAAGCTGCCTCTTCGTGTTGGCTTTTGGATACGAATCTTTAGAGCGTGTTTTTTGGGGTGAGGTTTGGAAAAACTAATTTAGGTTTTAGTATTTAAATAATATTTGATAAATATTCTGTGATTCTTTTTTAATTTTTTATTGTAAAAGAGAATTCAAATAGTAAATTTAGAAAGAAAAAAAAGTTAACAGAAAAAGCACACTTATATTTCATTTAAATTATTTACGCATAGAATATAGATATATTTTTTTAAAATATAATATTAAAAAATATATTTATATTTTTATAATAAATTAGTATTAAATTAAATATTATTTTGTATCCTTTTAAAAATTTAAAAATTAAAAACTCTAAACTTTTATTGAAATAAAATCTGCTTAGTTATTTATAAAAATAAGCAAACAAATGAACACACATATAATACTACTTCCTCCGTCCCATAAATATAGTCTTAATTGGGTTGCACACGAAATTTAAGAAATATTGATATTATATTAGTAGTTAGTAAAAATATGGATTAAAAACTTTTTTTTCCCTTGTGAGTGTATTAGTGTAAAAAGTAGTGACAATTGTGTAATAAAAATGAAAAAGTACGGGTAGTTTTGTAGTGATATGGTTATTTATGAAAATAAGACTATTGTTTTTGAACGGACAAAAATGATAAACAAGACTATTGTATTGGAACGGAGGAAGTATAATAAATCCATTTAACCCTTATAACATCGCATATTATATGCACACAATTCTTCTTATTATTAAGATTTGTATCTTATTACTTTTTTTCCTTTTTAATGACAGCCTTGTATTTAGTAATTATTATATATATATATATATAATAGTCCATTTATACACTGTGTATCGATTCATTTTAGTAAACATGATTCTCATTTAAATAATAAAAAATATTTTTACACTTGACAAAAATTTACAAAAATTCTATATATATAAAAAGCAAATGGAGTAGTAGTGGTGATTTTGTATTTTGCTTTTAATTATATTATTGTATTACTTATATATAGAATGTTTTATCCATTCCACCAAAATATATTCATTTTAATATTTTTGTCCATGAAAAAATATGTATTGCGCCGATCTACTTAGTAAGTATACGCATGACTATTTTTTTTTTTCTAGACACATAAGTATGTATGAACTTCTTTATATAGTACTAGACTTTCATATTTATACTTATTTACATTGATATTCTTACGTTAATTTTACACATCATCAAGGTAAAATATTATTTATATATCAAAATCATCACAAATTATCGTTAAAATAGTACTACTTTTGTTTGATTCTAAGGGTCTCATTTAATTTTTGTATATTGATCTTTGAATATTAATTATTATATAAAAATATGGTATAAATTAAAGAAAAATGACAAAAATATTTTTGTTAGTGTTTTATAATATTATTATAATGATATTTGTGCAAAAATTATACAAATATAATGATATTTTTAATATTAAGTACAATGACGTAAAAGATAAATAAAATCCTTAGAACCAGACAGAAGAAATAATATTTTTAAACTCTGTGTAAAAATTTACTTTATAAGTGGATAAAGTGAGTACTTAAAAAAAATGAAAATAAAAATTTGACCAAATTAATTTCATATTATAAATACCATCAGACTTATATTTTATTTACATCAAATTAAAAAGGAAGTATAAAGAAAAGTCTATACAAAAAGATATATATACAAAAATAGACAAATAAATAGTAAACGGACGTATTTTTATTTTTATTTTTTGCACTAAATTTATGATTTTTTATTATTTGGATTGTTCTTCAAAATTTTATCACAAAATATTTTATCAAGTATTATTTTAATATCAAAATCAAACAAAAATTTTTCCAAACAAATTAAAAGAAAAAACACACCCAAAGTTGCAGTTATACTATATATAATACTTTTTCGGTTCCGGCTACGGTGAATTTAAGAGGGGTATAATTAGTAAATAATCATGAATATATTAATAAAAATAATTATATATTAATTAACATTAAGATAATTAATCAGTATAATTAAAA